TGAAGTCATTCAGGCTAGCATTAACCTTGTAATGGCGGTGCAGGACGGAGTGGGGTCCAGTTGGTGGGGTGTTGATGATGTCAGAAGCGATACAAGGCCGGTATCGATTCCCACATGTGCACAAACACACACAAATAGGGAGTGACTGTGTTAATCAATACCCTTATCAATCCGTCAATCAACCCTCATGAACTGCTGCTTGTCCTTCAAACCAGTGTGTCACCACTGCAGGAAAACTGGTGTTGGAGGTCGTAAACTGACTGCTAATCCAATCAGAATAAGTTTTATGTTTGAGAACATTTATCTTTCTTTGTCTGTGCAGCGTGAATGTGAAAATCAGTCTGTTTCGCTGAGAAAATTGCTTCTTGAATTTATCTTTGTAGCATTTTTTACAGGTATTGATCAAATGGCAAGTGGCTCTGCACTGTGTAACACCATTATATAACCCAAGTTTAGTTTTGCTTTCATGTAGAATGTTTATTATTTCTTTCTAAAGCCAAGAAAAATCACTTAGCTGATGACACAATGCAGAGATACTCGTAATAACAGTGCAGCCAGAGTTCATTGAGTGGGCTAGAAGAGACAAAGCTGAGTGACTTGCTTGTCATTCCAGTGCCACTTAGTTTTCAACAACATAATTGTTCTCAACCCCTAACACTGTTCTGAATCCTAACACATTTCACAAAGTATCTGTCAGCAGAGTAGGTCTGAAAACATGTCTGAAAACAGCTACTTTAATTTCAGGTAAGACACTGTTCATTAAATCTTTTATAATGCAGATTTTATATTTAACTATATGGATTAGTTATTATTTTTAATGTCTTCAGGTAGTTTTGGATGCAATTCTTTGGATTTTACGTAATTTGCTAATGGATAAAGAAATAAAAAAGCCATGCAGCTCCGATAGAGAAGATACAAAATGCAATGAAAGTCTGCTTTTGTGCTCCAATCAGATTGTATATGTGTTTGTTTTAGGTTTGTATGTAACAATGTATATAATAATTTTCACTGAATGGCTGAAATTATTTACTTTATTCTTATGCAAATCTTTATGCAAGTGTAACTTTCTAGCCACAAAGTCACCTAGTATTCTCAATTTTGTTTTCAAAATGTATGTAAATGTATGTAAAAACATACATTGACTGAGAGGACTGAAATATGGACATGAGCCAAATCAAAGTAGAAGGACATACTGTTCCATACAGTACATTAGAAGGATTATTTGATCATGCAGCCATCTTACGTGTTTCATAAGATGAGATGTCTCATGGGTGCAGTGTCAGTCAGAGAGGATGATTTTTTTCATGGTGTTAAGACTAGCGGCTGATCAGTGGGTGAGAAACTGGGAGTGCAGCAGAGCAGTATGTAGGTTACCTGTCAGGAAATTAAGCCTATTAACCGCTTATGTAACACGTCACGCATTTGGCTGTGTGTCACATGTGGTTTTCTCATCCAATATTTCATACGTGGCACCAGGCAGACTTCTGTAAAGATGGTGTATTCATTAGTTCTTGCACTTTTCTGATATTAAACTTATATTAAACTAGTTTTGCTGCAGTGCTACTGTTTCCATGCTGGTAATAATAGTTTTAGTGAAGTAGAGCTGATATTTTCATTATAATAAATATATATTCTAACAACATACTCTTTTTTAAAATATATACAGGACGCAATTCATTTTACCTTTCTCTCAGTGGAGAAAAGAGTACCTTGTACACTTAGAGTCTACAGCTATGATAGCAATGACGCTTTGAGCTAAATGCTAATGTAAGTATACTAACATGCTCACAATCTAACATACCAATGTTTTGCAGTGAATTTTGAGCTTATGACGGTGGTTGAAAAGTTGAGGTTTAATAGGTGGTTGCAATTCATCCTGAGGGCAATGTGAATTTCTGAAGCAAATTTTGTGATAATGCATCCAATAATTGTTGAGACTCAAAACCACAAATGTCAACGTCCTGGTCACACTAGAGATAAACGTCAGAAAGAAAAGTCAGATCATTAGAATACATCATCTGGTAAATCGTTTTCCAATTTTGTGGCTATCCGTAGTCAGTCAATCAGCCATAGTCAGTATGGGTTCATATTCTGGGCACCAGGAATATCTGCACCTACTTTGATGGCAATCCATCCAGTAGTTGTTGTAGAGATATTTAACTAAAAACCACAAACGAAAAGTCACCAAAGTCTTTATTTCTTTATCCTCTGGGTACCATGAATACACAATTTCAAAGAAATCCATTCATTAATATTCAGATATTTCTGTCTGGTCAACACTGCAATCATAAAGCCACTACTAAAAGAAGATATGTCATGGTAGCTAACCTGGTGTGTAGAGTGAGTCCTTACTGCAGTGGCCCGGGTTTGAGTCTGACCTGTAGCCCTTTGCTGCGTGTCGTCCCCCCTCTCTCTCTCTTCCCACTTTCCTGTCATCAAATAAAGGCATAAAAACCCCCCAAAATATCTTTAAAACAACAGCAACAATAGCACAAAAAATAGTTATGGCCAATTAACACAAAGAAGCCATAACACTGGACACACCATTTAACGCACTTGCGATCTTTGGAAAGTGTAGAAAGAAGAACATGAAAGATGTAAAAAAAAAAAAAAAGACTAAAAGCATCAATTGTATTTTTCTGTTCTCAAACTAGTCAAATAGTGAGGCAGGGGCAGGGAGGTGTGGTCAGTCTACACACCGAGCTGGACCTTTGCCCACTCTAATCATACGGCTATTATGGCCATCAGTGTGTCTCCATCCTTGGCTTTGGTTCAGCTTCCAGGAGCCATTTGTAAAGCAGCGGAGCAGGAAATGAGGTTGGTTTGCTGCAGTCTGGTAAGCCTGGAGGATGTGCTTGAGGGAGCCACACTTAAGTCGGCGGGTTGATCACGCAGGGTCCCTCCCTGCGGACGGAGAGCGAGGGGGTCATCAGTAAGAGGCGGTGGTGAAGATGGAGTTGAGATTCACAGTGTGTCATGGACAGAGACATCACTGGCCTCCAGATTTATTATTGGGAAAAACCAGGGGCCCCAAAGCCGACGGATTGATGAGGTTTTATGGCACGGTCAAAAGCCCTGGACCTATTGTAGTTCCTCTTTTAAAAATGAAAAATTACATCCACTCCTCAGCCAATTCATAGAGTTAGGGTGTCTTTTTTTCAAATTCTTCTCCTTCTTTTGAATTTTCCTCTTTTCTCATTCTCATAATTTATTTTTTTACTGGCATTGTTAAAGGTCCAGTGCGTAACATAATACTCATTGGTATGTTTTCATTAGTGCATAATAGATTTTTTGTGTTTTTATTACCATAGAATGAGCTGTTGTCATTTACAGAGGAACTAGAAAGTCATTCATATTGAACCACCATGTAGTAGCCCAGAATGAATAAACCAAAACACCTTTGCGTTTTTCATGAGTTTTCACGACCACCCTAGTTTGTCATGCATGTCAGGCGTGCAGTTAATGAGTTGGGTGGTTGTTCTCAAAACCCTCTGTTCACTCATCTGAAGACTTTTGAGCCATTGTGTGTAGTTGGCAAGATCACAAACTCACCTCTAAAACAAAAAAGAAAATACAGATAAAATAACGAGCTGTTAGCCCTCCATGCAGGCAAAAAGCACAGTATTACACAGCCGGAACAAACATATGTTTGTTATTCTGAGCTAATAGAGTAGCTGTCATCAATGTTTCAGCTATGTGACGCCTCCGTATGAGTTCAACCTGCTTTTACATGCTTTCTTGCAAATTGGGGTCATGTTCCACTGTACAAAGAAAGGTAATTTCAATAGACTGACCAAGGGAACCTTCTAGTGACAGGACTGGTTTTCAGTAGAAGGGACTAGAGTTTCTTGCTCTCCTGAATCCCAACAAAGCATAAAATCTTTTTCAGTTTAACACATGATCCAAGCATATCGGATAAAAACGTCAAAGCGTTCATGAGGTTACACTGAAGGAAGGTTGAACCTTTACTGCAGATAATGAAAATAATAGCTATTCTAAAAGTTCAAGTACCTTTGTTATTCTTTGTATGACTAGATTTTAAATACAAAATGTTGACTGAGCTGGGGCAACAACAATTAGGTGAATACACAGATCTAATAGTCTTTTGCTAATTTGTCAAAAAACACGAGATTGTGCAGTGAGAGTTTTTCTCTCTCTGATGGATACATGCCTCTGAGTGTTTAGGGGAAAACAATCACTGTGCCATCTGTTAGTCTGTATGATAAATTAACAGCTTCACTGCTTGAGCAATTAGTTTCTGACAGTTTGAACAGAATCAATAATTTGCAGAGAAAGTCACGGCCGCATGAAATCTCACTTTTCCACATGAAGACATTGTTAAAGGATGTAATTGGGCAAAGTTTGAAAGGGTTATGTGTATTCAAAGGTATTTTAATGTAAATAAATTAGATGATTTCAAGACAAATAATAACCTGCTTTGCATATTATTAGCACTGCTAGCAGAGTTTCTCAAAATTAAGATCACATTTAGTTACATGCCTAATAGAAGAGGACAGTATTTTTTTAAATTTACCTTTCACAAGATCCCTGATCCATTTAGCTTCATAACGCTTGTGTGTATAATGTGTGGAAATAAACAAGCATATGTTAGGAAGCTGAGGGAAATGCAGCTAGTTAGCAAGCTAAACAAGTGCAGCAGGCTCTTTTTGTTTGTTGCAGTAATTCTACAAACATCTTAAAATAAGTGGTAATGATTTATGATTTATGATTTAGGTATCATGCTACATCTAAGAAGCTTTAGATATCATCAGATATCTCTGAACTGAACTCTCAGTCCAGCTCTGGCTCAGCCCCACGGTGGCTCTTTCCCCAGCAGTGCCTGTGTAATGGGACACTGCTAAACAATGCTGAAAGTGCTCCAGTGCAGTCATGGCCTGTTACACCTGACTCGCTCCTCGCTGCCGTCCATGCACTCGCCTGTTGGTAGCGTCTCTTCTCCAGGCTAATTTATGACACTATCAGACTCACCGGCTGCTGGCTGTACTGGACGCCCTCGTGCTAAATCTAATTACTTAAACTAATTACTACAGGTCTAATAACTTTGGTATGCTCTGCAATATTGTGTTCCTTATTCTCGATGTATAATATATAGCAGAGGAGGTTGGGGAACACAGGACCTACACCCTGCTCTTGGTTACTAGTGCTATCATCCACAATTCAAGCATGTAAATGCACAAAGAGTAAGTATAATGATGACTTTTGGCTTTTTATGTCACTAGATATGCTACTGATGCTACTAATGTAGATATATTTGCTTGCTTGGGCTGAAAATATATGCATCTTTTACTTGCTTTCACTTTGGTTAAACAGGAGTGCAAAGTTGGCTTTATTTGGATTTCTTATTTGCAAGTTCTGGGAGTGGCCCAGCACATTGCAGCTGGGTGTGTGTGTGTGTGTGTGTGTGTGTGTGTGTGTGTGTGTGTGTGTGTGTGTATGTGTGTTTGTCTGTGCATACAGTATGTGTGTGTGTGTGTGTGTGTGTGTGTGTGTGTGTGTGTGTGTGTGTGTGTGTGTGTGTGTGTGTGTCTGTGTCTGTGCATACTTGTATGCATCTAAATCTATGCTTTACTCTTACCATCCATGTTTGTCTGTTCTCTTCATTCCCTCAGCCATCAAAGGTCAGTAAATGTAATGAAATACTTATTGATCATTGCTATAATTTGCCAAAATGTAAATCCGTAAAGAGCGGCACGGTTTATACAGTAGTGTGTGATGAGAGGATGTTACTGTTTGATTAGTTGCTGCTCAGTAGTTGTTGTCTTTTAATATATTTAATCTGAAACATGTCATGGTGTTTCTACTCTTCCTAGACCTGAACTATGAATAGATTGCTCTCTTATGATGTTACCAAAAAAATACTGTTTTAATACTTTAAAACTACGTTTGTATGTTGGCATACAACCAGCCAAAGCAAAACAATAAACATGGGGTTTTACTGCTTGATGAAGATCTTTAGCTGTAGGCTTACAGTAACAACCATTTACATCTCAGTATTCTTTTACGCAACTCTTGCACTCTAAGTGAAAGTATTGGACGTATTGACTCTGATGTGTGCAGTGAGATTATCTTGGCTCGTAGACCAACAGTCTTTTTGTGCCATGGTTAAGCCGAAACTTTAACCCACTCATCAGGGTCACAGATTAGTCAATGTCAGTATCTCCTTTTGCCAAATGGATCTTCTGTTTCCTCTAAGTGGCCAAACCTCTGCTAAGACATCACTCTCATCAAAGAGTTAATGTCCACTTTCGACTTCTTGACTGTATTTATTTATATTTGTCTTAAATAATGTGACGACAATTACGTTTAGAAAAACTGTATTCTTTCTTTCAAAACCACAGTAATACATCTTTTCATACAGTAAATACATGCTCAGTTATACATGTGCTCTTCATTATTTGTGCACTTGTACACAGACTGTGGTTAATGCTACATCTCTAAACAACTAACTAAAAGTGACAGCTAGCTAGTACTCCAGGGCACACAAGGTTAGATAACCCCATGCAAACAGACACATACACACACACACACACACACACACACAATGTCTCCTCTAAGGGGTTATTTCCTTGCAGCCTGTGCTCCTGTTGGAGGTGTCCAGTGTGAGTCCTTTGGTTTCACCCTCCTGTCTCATGTGTCACAGCATGTTGTCACATATAGAGGCAGAGATGTATTATTGAAGATGTCTGCACCTTACTTAGGCACTGTACATTAGGCTAACACAAGTGCAATTATCTACACGTGGATGCATGTATAGGAGTCTAATTGCCCCGCATAGGCAATGACTGATAATACCTCTGCAAAAGAATGTGTCTGTGCCAGTATTATCTTGCTCTGGAGTGATTTATTTACAGTAACTCAGTCAAACTGATTTAAATCACCAAAATGATCACATTTAGATACAATAACTGCTTGGAGGTAAGGTGAAGATAGCACCCTTGGAAGCAATCTTCCTTGAACATAAAGAAAGTGACCAGTGATAACAAAAAGAGGCCCTCTGCAGCATGTGTGCTTAGGGAATTTAACCAGCTTTCCTTTGTGTATGAATGGGCGTCTATATGGGGAAAGGCTCACGCTGCAACAGTGGCTAATTCCTGCTAATCCCACCGTATCTCCTACCACTTAGAGATGGTTTTCAACGGCAGCCCTGGAGCTGGGGAATTGCTGGTGAGATTAGCTCGCATTAGCTCCTCCTCTGTGGTAAACACTCACAACCAGGCCAGGCCGGGCCTGCCACACTGCTTCCATGCTAACCTTTTGCACAGAAATGGATTAATTACTTTTCAAAAATGTTTCAAGTCTTATTTAGAGAACAATGTAAGTTTGTTTCAATTTATTCTGCTTTTATTATGGTTGTAGTTTTGTGTGGATTCAGTTCTGTGAGGGCTGAAACAGGCTCCCTTGTCATGCAGGCTTTATGAAAGGTGTGTTTAGAGGTGTTTGTTTGTGCAGGATTTAGCTGTGTTCTCCTCTACATTTCACTAACTTTCCTTTGCACATTTCCATGCTTTTCTTATTGCCTGTCAATAGGCTTGTGTTTATAGTATTAGGTTGTGATTTTGGACACAGTTTGATAAATGTTACAACAATAATCCAAATGCACAAAGAAAAACAACATGCATTCGTAGACTGATAGATTACTTTGAAATTGAGACTCTGCTTTGACTGACTCTGAATGTAGGAAACACGCCCCTTTGAGTGTTTAGAGACAAGAAACAAATAGCAGCCATCAAAAGGTTAACTGTAGATATAAATCTCAATTCTGCAGGTGGCAGTTATCAGATCCTGTTTTTGAAAAGCTATTGCACAACACAGTTTTAAAAGTTGGCAACAATTTTAACTTTTCATGCTTTAAATGACAAATTATTCACTGTGAAATTAGATAATGATTACTGAATTCCATGATTATGTAGATTAATTTAACAGTTATCCTACATATAATGTTCTACATTTAGTATGAAAATCCCCAAATCCCAATAACAAAAGGCTATGTTTTCACCATGAGTCAGTGCTGCTCTTAATGTCATCCAGCATTGTAACAGTGTAATCCTAAAGTATCATTTATCTGCATCCGGCACGTAGCTACAGCGTGTAAAATGCAACATGATTAATAAGAAATAACAGCATATCCAGTCTTTTAAGATACAGATGAGTCCTTTCAGATAAAGACAGAGCTGAGAGTTGGTCGTCTCTTTTGTTGCACAAGAATACAGTGCAGCATAACACTCTCTGTCAGGAATTCATCACAAGTGTAACGGAAAGTGAGCACACGTTTATAGCCTGTATTTTTGTATATGCGGCTATATATGCAGCTCTATGTAAGAGTGTATTGTAGTGTTAAACCCTCAAAAATTAACCCTGAACTAACCAACTACCACTGGATTATCCTCTAGTTAAACACTTGATGTGGTTCCAGTTTAATTCCCAAACAAACCAGCATGACGGCACTTTAAACGCTAGACAAACCACTCATCTGGTTACTCTACACTACAGTTTATCGTGTAACCAGCATGGTTTCATTGAGTATTGTATTCAGAATCTAAAGAAAGTGGTCCTGTATGTGCTTGTATACTGGGCTTCAAGTCTCCTTCAGCTGAGCTCTTCACTAATATGTTTCACATGGATTTATACCAGTAAAAGCACATGAGCCTGTGCGTACTGCAGTTTACATTGTTCTCTCCCAGCAGTAACCCATGTGCTTTTCTTTCACAGGAGATCTCTCCTGAAGATGTTTCCACAATCAGGGAAATCGATTGTCTTTGACAACTTTCCAGATCCAACTGACACCTGGGAAATCATCGAGACAATTGGGAAAGGGACGTATGGAAAAGTCTACAAGGTGCTCGACAAACTTGATGGAAGTAAAGCAGCTGTAAAGATACTGGATCCCATCCATGTAAGTTCTTGTCTGGAGTGTACAAAATAAATGTGTGTCAGTTTAAATGACTCAGTTGATCGTTTAATGTAGGTCCAAATCTCACATTATACTACAATATGTAGTCTAAAGTTCACATGTTTTCACCCCGTATTGGAAGTCCACACTGCCATGCACGTGTTGTAGTCAGTGCTTAAAGCAGCTATAAGCTTGTGGTGTGTTTATGCCTTTGGTGGAGGCTCAGGGTGGAGAAGTTACTGTCTTGTGACCCTAAATCTGTCGCATTTGGAGCGTCTGTATTTTAAAGATTTAGACACCAACACAGATTAGATCTGACCAACCATTTTTCTCTTTGCATCTATCTTGCTCTTTGTTAACTTTATGGTTTGCCTTCAGTTGTTTAGTCAGTGTATATCTACCAATATTCCTCTCAGTCATACTGTATGATACCGTAAACTTCTCTGTGTTTTTCACATAAACATGAACCCATTTTTAGTGTAACATATGATTTGTGTTCTTCGGTTTAGGTTAGTGTTTGTGAGTTGTATACTTTTTTTCCCATTACTTTGGCTACAGTCAACACAAAAACACATTACAATAATATGGACTGCCTGTCTTTTCCAGTCACAATAGTATGCATTATATTACATTTTAGACTTTTATACTACTTACTTTTCATACCTGTAGTTTATGTTTACTCCAATGAGCAACTCAAAATGACCTGAGAGACTTACCCAGTACTAAACAATGAAAGAAAGACAGAAACAATTCCTGCAAATTTACAGTAGAAAGACCCTCCATAAAGGATGCAACCGTATGGAAAACGCTTAGGACTTTAGGTGTAATAGGTGGAAAAAGCTGGTGGAAAGTATGTTGACAGACCTCTTGTACAACATCAGTATAGTGATGGAGTCATTAGCTCAGAACTTGGCAAGATAAACATGCTGCCCTCCTTTATTCCCTGCACTCGCCTTTTAGAAAAGGAGTTTTTTCTTCCATCTACAACAAATTATCTCATCAAATTGGTTCTGATGAATTGATCATCATCAGTGGGATGTGTCATGGCACTACTCTGATAATTCGGGGCTCCTTTGCTTGTGCAATTACAGAAGATTACGGAGCAGGAGGTACTACATTTTTAAGCAGTAACTGATTTATTGTTGTCATCTTAGATTTAAATTGAATAGAACATTAGCAAAGGTCACTATTTCTAATGAACATTTATAGAAAGTAGTCATCATTGATCTTATGCTATGGTGTCACTGGGTCCTGCATAGACTGATAATACCTGCTATGTTGTTTATTATTTTGAAGGTACACTGAATTGTATGGCTTATTTAGCAGCTGTAATGAGCAGTCATTGTCATCTATTAAATCCAGCCTTCGTGCTTATAAAAGTCTCATTAGTCTTTTGTGAATTTGTTACTGTTTCTCATTATTGAGAAATGATTATCTACAGACCACTAGTCTGTGAGGACCATCATTACCGTCATTTTAATCACAGGGTTGATTATTTCACGTATAGACCTATTACACTCACTACAACTATATTAAAAAGTCAGCTCATATGCTACGCTCTGCTTGGTTTGCAGCTAGGTGTATACAGTAGAGCAGTGGTTCCCAACCTGGGGTCTGAACCCCATGAAGAGGGTCACAAGATATATCTCAGGGGTCATGAGAGAGAATGTAAATCATATGTCTTTTACACAATTTCTCTAATATGTTTTTTTTTTCTTGTGAAATACTGGATTGTTTTAGACTTTGTGGTGTCAAAAAAAACAGACTTAGAAGTCACATGCAGACATTGCTTCACTTTAAAGGGCCATAAGTCAAAAAAGGTTGGAAATCTTTCCTAGCATAATTTGATACAACTATAAACCTGTATTTAACATTAAATATGCATCAGCAAGATTTGTATGTAAAATACTCCTGTCTCGTAAGCCTTAATGACACAGTAAGGCTGCACCATACAGTAAAAGAGTGTCCAATAATTGCTATTATTAAGATGTCCTGGTTTTGCCCTTTTCACCCATGTTAAATTATAGAGTAAGTGATGAAGACTTCATAAATTGCCCTAAAGAGCATCAAAAGAGTGTTCATTAGTTTTCTTGGCTTAGTTAGATGAGAAGATCAATGCCATTGTTATGAATGTCCTGATATGATAAACATAAGCAAAACATGACTTTGTGTGTCCTTGTCTTTCAGGATATCGATGAGGAGATCGAAGCAGAGTACAACATCCTCAAAGCTCTTTCTGACCACGCAAATGTTGTCAAATTCTACGGGATGTACTACAAGAAGGATGTAAAATGTGGAGATCAGTTGTGGCTCGTATTGGAGGTAGGAACGCTTGTATTTGAAAAGAAAAGCCACTATGTGTTTGCCACACAGGAGTCTTATTTTGAGACCTCAAATAGCATTTGCCTGTATACTGTGGCGGTACCATGCAGACAAAGAGAGCATAGCTGAGATTAAAGGTCTGATTGTACTTCACATGCCATGTCTCGCCAGGTATATGCAATGGTGACCAAATCTGGCCAGGGATTATGCACCAGTTTAAGCCACCATGGGCAGTCTAGGAGTTTACCTATAGGCCACCTGGGGATTTGGTTGAAAGCCAACATCATGGAGCTTGTTGAGGGTTGAGGTTAGTTTGCATGACGTGGGAGCCCTGCTGAGAGCAGCAGAGCAGGGATTTCTGTTTACAGGGGCTGTCTCAGTGCATTAGTTTATACACCTTGCAGTTTGGAGCACAGGCCCAAATGTAGCTGCTTTCTGTTTTGGGTAGAAAATGCTGAAATGTTACAGGAAAGAGCGTATTTTGAGGTTATATGTAAACTGCTTTAAATTACTATGCTAAATTGGCAACTGAATGCATACCTGCATTTAACTTTGGGACTGCTTTCTTGCACCTGCTCATGTACAGGAATGGCTAGATGCAGGTATGAATTTGTGATATTTTATACAATTGTTCAAGGGGACCTTGCTGCTGCAGCTGCTTTCTGTACATCCAAAAAAGTGCCTTGCCTCCAGCTCCCCAGTTCTCCCTCTTTCATATTTCATTGCCTGCTGTAGCCCTTTTCAAATGTCAAGCTCCAGAGAAAACATGTAATGGAGGTCAACCTCAGAGGAGGAAAAGTGTTTGTGGGGTCCAACACAGTGGCAGATGTGGTTTTCCTTTGCCTTTTGACTTTCTGACCATGTAATTTATGTTCCTGCTTTGATAAAGGGCAGTGCAAATCTGGAGATGTGTGGTAAACAAGGTCAGTGAACTTGAGGAAGAATGGTGGCGAAGTGTCGCAGATTTGGTCATAAAGGTCTTTGAAGTAGTTTTTTGAAGAATGTAATGTTGGTTGGTTGGTTTACATCCAATAATCCAACGGCTATCGCCATAAAATGTTGCACAGAGATTCATGGTCCCCAGACGATGAATCTTAATATCTTTGGGTATCCCCTGACTTTTCCTCTTGTGGAACCATTAGGCTGGCACTTTTGGTTTTGAGTGAAACATGAAATTTGGTACAGATACTGTATCCATGGTGTCCTGAGAGGCTGACTTTGATGACCCCCTGACTTTTCATGCAACTCCCCCAGCAGGTTTTTATTTTTGGTTCAAAGGAACATTTCTTGACAACTGTTATACAGTTTGCCATAAAACTTGGTGCAGAAATTTACATTTCACACAGGATACACTGAGAAAAAACATCAAATATGGAGGAGAAAATTAAAAATATTATAAAGGATACAAAGAAGGGAGATTTAAATTTTTGGGCCTCTTGCAATTTCAGAATATTTTATTATATGGCCTTTTTTATCCTCCAGTGGACTGTGCATGCATGTATTTGGTTTGGTCTTCTTGCCCAAGAAATGCCCATCTTCACCAACTGTTCCACATTGTGCTGTTCTTTTATCCATTATCAAGTGCAACAGCGCTAGAACACAGTGTCCATATTTCTGTAATCCAAGCTCAATGTGCTTTGCATCAACTGCAGCAGTGTTATGCTAACCCAGTAGATAGTTTTCACCTCTCCAGCTTGTGTTTCTTTCCCTTTTCATCGCTGTCCTTCCTCCTGACCTTTGCAGAGGACCCTGCAATTACTTTGCTCGGATATCAAGTACAATCCAAGATGCTGAATAAACAGACCACACACTGCATTACAGGAAAACAAAGACCTTTATCTGACGTGATAGATTGTACGTTTTGTATCAGGTTTTTTTAATCTGTCAGTTATTGAATAAGAATACATATCTGGTGTAAGGGGAGTTCACTCAGCTTTGCTACTTTGTTTACTCCCTGTTTCCTCTGTGGTTTGCATATCCATTTCCAAAATTTCCCTTGCAAAAATCTGCAGCCAGCAGTCCAAATCTGGTGGCTAATCCTGAGGCTGAAATCACTGCCTGACAGTTTAGCAAGTGGCTGTGTGGGGCTGTGTGTGTGTGTGTGTGTGTGTGTGTGTGTGTGTGTGTGTGTGTGTGTGTGTGCTCTGAACTAGATGCACAGGGGGTTTTAGCAGTGAAGAGACAGGAAAGCAGGCAGTGAGGTGGTCATTCACCATGGTTACTGTCCCTCCTTTCTAAACTGTAATTTTCCATCCTTTAGCGACGCTGAGAGGAGCCTTTCTCTACCCTGCCCTGACAGCAGACCGCTCATTATGAACAGAATTCATACAAATTGCATCCTCTACTTTGTTAGACCCTCATTGGGGCCTGCAAGCTTTTGGCTTTGCCTCTGTAGTATGCTCCTTTATGATAGCGGATGTGGGCAGAGATGAACAAGCTTTCATGTATGACTGCCTAATTCTGCTCCCCGAGAGTTTAAAAATACTTCAAAGATAGCGATGATGGAGCGACTTTTATTCCCTAATTGGAAATGAAAACCTGATTTGGATGTGCATTTCATTTGTGAGTTGTTGTGAGTTTCATTCAAAGACCCAGTTTAATGAAGGCCAACAATGATTGGTCCAATCTGTAAAAGCTCATCTTTAAGATGTATCTCATTTCATTATGAAAAAATAAAAAAACATAGCTAATGCTAAATTGAAATGGCATTGCTCTGTGCCTATATTGCATTTTAGGTCATATGGTTATTTATGTAATTTAACTGCTAGTTCTTTTTCTGCTGCTTTGTTGTTACTACAATTAATAATGATAGTAAAGTGACTATTACATGGGAAAGAAATATGCTTATGTTTAGGCAAAAGCTGCTGATCTCTGCTGTAAAACAATGTTATAATAGATTAGTTGATCACACCTTTAACATCATCACCATTTTTAACAAATTCTTTGTATCTCTGTTAAAAGACAGAAACACCTTGTTTTTTGTTTATGATTAGATTCGATTAGATTCAACTCTATGCTCTTACAGTCATACAGTTTTATAGCAAGTACTAGTTTTACTTCTGCATCAGGATGTTGTTGCAAAGAGATATGGGACCAACTGTGGACTGTGATTCATCAACTTTGGCTATTTTTGTTGTCTCCAATGTGTTTCTAATGACAGTTGATGGTAACAACATGGAGCAAGCTGAAAGAGGGCTCAGTAATCCAAACTTTTCAATAATATGTGTCATTTTTTGTCACAAAGTAAAGAAGAGAATTTTGCTAAACAAGATTACATTAGGTATATAGCACTTGTTCAGCTCATTTATTATCTAATTTTAGTATCTAAACCCCATTCTACATATGGAAAATTCATTTGATTGGCATGCACCTGTCAATACAAGGTCCGACACTTCACAGAGAACTATATACAGACAAAACTCTCTGCAACTATTTAGAACAAATGGGCTCTGTCATTAGGAAATGGAAGAAGTAAGTGGGCATGAAGGGCCTTTACCATGACCAAAACTGAATTGGCATCTTTAAGAGCAGAAATGGAAGAAGTTGTCAGACTGTCTCTGTAATACTACATCAAACAGGCCTTTATGGTAGAGTGGCTGGAAAGAATAATTCCTGAATAACAACCCATGTGACAGCCCACTCAGAGTCTAAAGAAGAATATATAGTACTTATTACACAGTAAAATGCCCCCTGTGACTGATATATTCTTACATTATTAGACTGTTAATACTGATGCAACAACGTGTAAGTAGCATTTGACTGTTGTAGCTGTTTAAGAGCTATAGTTTTACTATATGCAGTTAGGTAGTTTAGTCCAGTGGTTTCCAACCAATGGTTCGGGCCCCTTCCAAAGGGTAACAACATACATATGGGGGCAGTGAAATGATTACTGGCAGGGGAAAGAGTTTAGAGATTATTTTGAAACAATCTGAAAAGGTATTGTGTATATAATAGAATATTAAATAAAAAATAATAAACCAGAGACTTTGATTTTTGACCTTTTTGTTTGTCCTCTCTTATTATACCACATTTCTTTTTGGTCGGACAGCTTCTGAAAGTCAAAACAAAACCGCTGTGGCCTGCATTTATCCCCATTAGTGTCTGTCCCGATTCATCCTGCCCTCATACCCCAACCTCTACAGTCAATGTCATTAATTGACAATGAGGTGTAAAATGGTATTCCTTGTTCAGGCTTTTCAGTAAATGGTGCCAGAAAGTAGACACCTCAGCTATTATTCCTCTGTAAACGATAAGGCCACAGTAACAATAGTAGTGTTTCTTTCTGGAAATGATCCAGAGTGTCACACACACAGGAACACACACGCTTATTCAGTGTTGTAGACATGATGCACCTCCTAAGTCCAGTAATCTGACAGTGAATTAGAAAGATACATCTATATATACACAGTATATTTATATTTGCATGGACATCAAAGATAGTTGAGTAAAAAGTCAGCACCTGTGTGTTTAAACGGCCGCTGTGGTTTCTCCTCACTGAGTCAGGGGGGATGCTCCGTCTGTTTCATCTTTATATTTGTTTCATCCACTTCTTTTACACATCTTTGATCGACTACTTTCATTTACATGACTAAACAAGCACCTGACCTCATTTGTAATGGAGAATATTCTACTCAGTATTCAATGTATTCAGTTTTCTTTGAAAATTGGTAGTTCTGTAGAAACTAAGGGGACATTCAAGATGAAGATGTAAGACATTGATCTTAACAGATGTTTTATTTAGCTAGTGTTCCCTTCGGATTTTAAACCAAATATTTGGCGATAAATGCTAATAAGGTAGCACTATTAATCATTTTTAGAAGTAATAGGGTTAAGGTTATTAGTCTACTTGTAGCAGTGTGAGTTCTTCAACAATATTGTGGCCTATATTTGAAATATTATATATAATAATAAGACAGCAACCAGTGGAATTGGTGTTGAGCTTCCACTAGAAACCCTTATATCCCTTTATGTGATCCCTTGTTGGCAGCTGACTGTAAAAAACAAATCTTGAAGGAAAGTGTGCTTTATATTGAAGGTCCATATTTGAAATTTAAGGCTGCATTTTTTTCATGGAGTGGGAATTTGAACCCTGTTTACCTATTTTTTTTCTACCAAACTTAATGGAATAAACTGTCTTTTCAGCTCTTCTGTATATCTCCATTGACTTTCACAATCACTATCATAGTTTAACGATGTGGCGCTATTGAAAAGAACCTTCAAACCACTAAATACCTGTACCCGAGCTCTTTCATGGAAAGGTTAGGAAATCTTGTTTAATCTGTACACGATTTAAATCAAACCAGGTCTGAAGTTTCAAATGTCGTTTCCACTTTGCAGAGGTTTGAGTCTTCACCACATCTCAAATAATTAATGTTCATGTCGAGCATCACTTTCTGGAAGTGGACTATGGTGAAAGCGCTAACATTTAGCTGTGCTAAATCTAGAGCACCGGACCTCTCATTAATATGGATTTGTCTGTCTGCCCTGTGTAATTTAATGATGACAGGTGATATTGCAGCAGTGAGGTGGACTGACGTCAGGCGCAGCTCATTGTCAGAGTGTTGTGCTGTCTGTGAAAGCCTCAGTGGTATTCTCTGCTTAACTGCAGTTTGTCTGCACGTCTGATACCAGAGAGAAGGAGTGATTAAGCTCCCCATGTGGCAGCTGAGATACACGCCATCCATCCTGCAACAGCTCTCTGGGCTCCTGATGGATAGGTAGATTGATAGGCAGATAGAAAACAGACAAAAGGCACAGCGTTGAAAACTTATGCCATCGCTTAGTCAAGGTCAAAGACTTGCTTCACTCACAGCATCATGGTGCATAGAAGGATTACTGAATGGTACGGTGGCCGACAAGGGCAAACGCGCCGCAAACGGCAAAACGCTGCAAACACGGGGAATGATGCAAAACCAAAAACACACAAACACATAAAAACAAATGCAACAGAAAAACGCAGCAACAGAAAAATGCTGCAAATACCAAACACCTTGTCGGCCACCGTAGAATGGGCCCCAAGTGGTTACTTTTGGAAGTCACTGCTGGTATTTCGTGATGGAAAGTCAGTCGGACAACTAGAAAGAGACAAAGAACAACCACAAAACTTCTACAAAGAGAAACTCACCACCACAAAGAGATGCAAAATGCATGCAACATGACCACAGAGAGACACAAAACAACCACAGAGACTGTATGACTGCAAGGAGACACAAAACTTCGACAAAGAGATACAAACCCAAAATCTAAACCACTCAGCGTTTCTTGTCATTTTGTGTCTCTTTCAGTCCTTGTGTCGTATCATGTTGGAGGGGTGGAGGGAGTTTTACATGTTTGTTTTGAATATTTTAGTATTTCCTGATTTACTTTACTTCAAGTTTCAAAATATCTTGTTCCAACAAAGAAAATGTTCATTTAACAAAGTCATTATGCATTGTGTGCTTTTTAAAATCAACTGAAGCTGAAACAATTAATTGGCAACTATTGATAGAATCATTTAATTAATTTAGCCTTTAGCCAAAACACCAAGCATTTACTCATTTGAGCCTCCCAAATGTGAGTATTTGCTGCTTTCATTAGTTTATTTAGACTTTCAGCAATTTGACTGGGTTGGGACTGTTATTATTTCCTGACGGTTTATAGACAAATAATCAATTGAAATATATATATATATTTGAATCCATAACATCAACTAAATTTAGTGAGCTATTTTATGTTCACTGTAAGCTGTAAGTGGAAGAATCAATTTATAGCTTTTCTGGGGTTAGCTCAGTTAGCACATAAACACTCTGTACAAAGGCAATCAAGCCCTGTGGGTGGAATTATAATGAGATGACAAAATGGGTCCCTATTCAGAGATTTGGGCACACAGCTGCAAATATTATCACTGTGTTATGATGCTACTATTGTACCAGTCAGCACTTTTTTGTTAGGATTGCAGGGGAAGACATTCAGAGAGTAATAATACAAAATGATACAATCAATTTTCCATCTAGTGCTGTTATGCAAGTACTGTAGGTAACATCCTGTTTCCCTAACCATTTCAGGAAAGCACATATTACACTATAGGCTTCATGCTGTGCTGTTGTGTCATTTTAAATGAGAGCTGAAAAACCTGTGTTATGTAAGTTATCTATCAGTAACCTTTTCTGATACATGCTGCATAGTCTCTTTAGTACGATCGCTGCAGGGGACTGATTCTTATCCTAAATAACCACACACCACTGCACCTCTATTGCCTAATTAATCTTTCAGTTTACAAGTGCGGGAAATTAGTGTAATTATACAAGAACAAGTGTTTAATACATAAAAAGATGTGATGGAAATTTCCTGTCTGACACAAAAATGTTTTAGCATGCGTGTAGGACTAAAGATGTGCGTTGAAATGGGTCATAGCAAATAAGAAAAAGGTGTATGTTTATTGCATCTGTAAAATGCATCTTTTTACCACAAAGAAAGACGAGATCTGTGTTTACAAACAGTGTTCGTATGCAGAATCTACAATTTCTCTTCACTAGCGGCCTCCAAGCACTGTGACTGACATCTAAGAGCTTTATATTTTTCGTATACCTCTGGCATCTCCCAAAGAAAGGCTCAAATTAAGGGCTATTATTGTTGCCAAGGCAACCCACTGGGTAATTTTCTGTAATTTTCCAAGAGGGATTGCTGTTGACAGTGGAGTCCATATCTACTAGCACAGTATAGCACAAGAAAACACCTATAAATACATGAAATCAAACATATGTCTCTGTGGTTTTTAATCTTGGTACCTTCAGTTTGGTAGGAAATGCTGTCCTTCAGAGGGTGTGTAATTACTAATATTGGCATTGTATGAAAACACAAGAGGATGTACTTCATTTGAAGATGATTTGCGCATGTTTAATATTTAGCCTGCTTAGTCATCACAGCGTAGATTAAATCCTGCAAGCAAAATGTACATTCTCCCCGTGCGATTTTCACCTCTCACTAAGCTGCCTCAGAGAGATAAGCTGCTAAAGATTGACAAAATTACTTTCAGCATCTCTTTTCTCACTGTGAAATCTTCTGATCAAAACGTTTTCATCCTCTGCTTCTGTTTCTCCACGTAAGATTCTGCACATCTCAGATGCCCCAGATTTCAGCGTATTGTATAAATTCAGCTGTAAGCGCTGACTCATGTTGAGTTTCTTCTCATTATTCTCTTTTCTTTGTGGGTTCTTCTGTTGCAGCTCTGCAATGGCGGCTCTGTGACAGATCTGGCCAAAGGCATGCTGAAGAGAGGAGACAGAATGGATGAAGCCATTATTGCCTACATCTTGCACGAGGCCCTCATGGTAAGTCTGGCCTTTTGAATGTGCGCGAGGGGAGACAATGCTGTACTGTAGAGCTCAATCGAACAACCTCCTGCTGAATGAAAAGGGGTTTAAACGGGATAATTTCGAAGGCAGGTGCTAGTCAGAAAAAAGCTGTTAACCTCTTTTTCTTCACAGGGCCTCCAGCACCTGCACATCAACAAGACCATCCACCGTGACGTCAAAGGCAATAACATCCTGCTGACGACACACGCAGGGGTCAAACTGGTGGATTTTGGTACGCAGTGTGTCTCTTTTTTTGTTGTTGCAAAAGACGTTTAACGTAAGCTTTAACATTGGGTCTTTTTTTTAACCATCCTCCTCTAATCAGTGGAAATCACGTTACGGCTCTATTTAACAGAAGAGGGTCAAATCCATTACCTTCCTCTGCTTGCCAAATAAATTGTACCACTAATTAGTTTCCTTGAGAGGTTGGAATACATTTATGTAACCCGACAAGGTGGCAGGTGATTATACTTTTCCATTACAGCCTATCTTTTACATTCTCCTGCAGACAGCAGCGGACATTGTTGCTATTCACCCTGTGTTTGCACTGATTTGCTTTTGGGTTTTCTTAACCAAATGAGGCGCTCAAAGCAGCAGAACCACAGTTCTTGGACTGAAGGCTCATCATAGGCAAAGTGATTCTGACTATTTCCAGGGGGATGACTCACCCCTATTTTCTTCAGTGGCTGAAAAACCAGCTGCCTGTTTTCATTACAAATACAATCCCCACTCAACGTGTGTGTAGGTTTGCATTTAGTCTGCTAATTGTGGGCTTCTCTTAAAAGCCTTTTTCTACCCATGAAGCCCAAAGTGCACAGCTCTTACATAAGGAGGGGGAGGGGGAGGGGGGGGGGGGGTATTAATGGAATCACTTCATACGTGAATGTGAAGTAGCTAATATGGAGCAGGGCCATCCTTTGCCTCCAGAGCAGCTTCTTCCTCCACACATGGTTGTCAGAGATTCTCAATACCTGTTTTTTTATACCAGTTTTGAAGAAGGAAAGCCTCGAGGTCTTTAGGACGTAAGAAGTTAGAAATGTTGTTTATCTCATAAATATTTAGTGATGTCTACATCTGGTGAGAGGAGCTCCATCCTATGTTCTGATATTCTTAATTTTTTTAGCAGTTGGTGTTTTAATGGTCAGTAAAGCAAACATCTGCTTAATGGGCCTTTTTTCAACTGCACATTTAAAATGTCTTTTGAAAGCAACTTTTACAGGCTGTTATTGGTCCGTATGGGGTTACTCTAAAGATACAACCATCTATGGCAAATAAGAGGTATACATATCAGCAGAAACATATTCTAATAATCACTCAAAACTATCAACCTCACGCTTAACCCCTTACATAAACCAAACCGTGGCTCAGTTTGTTTGTTTGTTGTGGCATTTAACATCTAATTTCAGTTTTCTTATTTTTGCCTTCACCCCATCTCCTGCTCTGAAATACTGATATTCAACAACTCAAAGCCAACAGTAAACTAAAAGGGGGTACTGTGTGCTTTCAGTCAATATGCTCCCAGCTGAATGGTGAACAGTTGTCCATTAGTCTGCATTTCTCGAACCATGTCCCCTGGTTATTCAGCTGAAATTGTATTGCCTTTTTCCACAACATTTCAATGTTCTCTTATTTTTGCTGCCGTATACTGAAAATCACAGTGTGACACAGTTGTAAAATACTGAAATAAGTCATGCATTGTGTACATTTTAACATTCTTAATACGTATATTCAGGGACATTATAAATGTAATATACAAATATTCAAACAGAACATCTCATGGTTAGTGAAGAAAAAGTACAACATTTTTTACAGTACATAGCTACAGTACAGTACAGTTAGTAACAGTAACTTAAAGTTAAGATCTCCGATTGTACAGTTTTTGAAGGTTGATAACTTGAGTGTTTAAAAGGTGTAATCTCTTTTGCTGTTTCAATTTCAAAATTTCATTGAAAGTAGTTATTAATTATTGAGTTTTCTCAATAAATGGATTCCATTTACATAGTCAAATGCTCCTCTGAAAAAACACACAAAACAGGATGGATGTGGCATATCTACACTGTAAACTAAAGGAAATGTCACAGATAAGAAAAGCCAGAGAGGGCTTATGAAGAGAAAGCATCTCCATCAGCGTCATCAGAAACTTACTGGCCTTTTCCAGCAGAAAAGTGAAGGTGTCATGCTGTAGTAAGTGGTTGCTGTGGAGAACTGCCACATCACAGGATTAATCTGAACAACAGACCAGTGTGTCCATCTATAGCCACTTGAGCTGTCAAAAGTGTCCTTGAGACGGACACTTGACTGCTAATGCATTATAAGTCCCTCTCGATAAGAGAGGCAGTTATATATCTGCTGATAAATGTCAAAATAGCCTGGTCTAGTACCAGTCTTTATTAGGGTTAGATAATCTAGGAAAATATTCTCACATTTATATAGTGATTATATAAAAGATATCAAATGTTCCACAGTTCCTGAGTTACAGTTATATAAGATAAAATTATCTTGTATAACTAAATTGTCCTCAGACACATCATACAAATCTGAATAATTGAATATATTATGTAACTAATGGTCACTGAAGCACTGGAAAGTTTACACACCAGTGATGGGGAGAAAAAGGGCTGAACCCACACACATCTACTGCGGCTCCAACATTAAGTTCAGCTGAATAAAATGTCAGATACTTTGAAACAGTACTGAGTAATGCAACAAAAAGTATTTTTTTATTATTATAACTTATACCTATATATAAATCTAAATCCACCATCCTACCTCAAAAAGATATTGTAAAAAGGAATGACTATTGTTGCAGAATTAACCCAAACTAACAATATCATTACAGTTTCAAGTAGATTGTGAAAGATCTCAGAGAAGATATATTGCACATATGAGACTGTTTATTACAGTCGAGGCATTGCAAACATTTTTACTTTGATATATAGATATTTTGTTTGCTTTAGAACATCTTATCAAGTGTTTCTCTGGCTAAACTTGTAATGACTCTCTAAGATAGGAAGGGTACAGTATCTATGGTGTGCCTGAGAAGAGATTTATTACATGAAAACAAGTTTCAACTCTCATATCACCATGTTGTTTAGTAAGAAGCATCTGAAAACCCTATAGGAAGTAATTACATTTAATAGTTGTGGCATTATCACCAATAAATCATTACTGCATTAATTTGGAAACCTGAGAGTAATTGTTGTAAAGCAATTGGACCGTCGACTAGTTCCATGTTAGCCTATCTTGCCAGAATGCACACAACAATGGGACTTATAATGAAACTGGAGGTGAGAAAATTAAGCCCAAAGCAGCATTAGCATCACTATCACCATCATAGTGACTATATGGCATGAAAATGTTGGCTATGAAAGGTGCTATGCTGTACCTTTTTATACCCTGCATCACTGTGAGACTGTGAATGAAAACAAAAGACAAAAGGTCACCACAAGTGAACAGTGTCCTGATTCATGCGTCAGATGCGGCGGCTCTATGGTCTGATTGTATTGGTCTAGATTGAAATATCTCAATAACTGTGGGATTAATTTAATGTGTGCCCAGACATTCATGGTTCTCAGAGGAACCTACTGACTCCCCAGTTTCCTCTAGTGCCACCATGAGGTTGATATTATTTGGAAATGCTGTGACAACTCTTGGATAGATTGCCATGTCATTTGGTCCAGACATTCATGGTGAACAGTGAACAAGATAAACATTTTGTTATTATTATAAGCATTGTCATTGTGAGTGTGTTAGCATGCCGATGTTCCCATTTACTAGCTGTGCCTTAGCTTTGTTTCAAATCTGATCATGACTAAAATGGGGTTTGAGTACAAAACTAGAACATCATGCATGCAACACATATGTGACTTGCATTTAATTTAATTTTAATCTGAAATTTTCAGCTTTCCGTGACACTAAGTAAATGTCATGTCTTCCGGCTGAGATAAAAGGTAGCAGCAAACTGAGCAGATAAGATGTGGACTCCTGTGTTATCATCTGCCAATTGAGTCTTAGCCGATTAAGATTTTTGCAGTATTAAAAGAACAAATTAACATAGTGGAATCTCTCCCTGTGTCCAGAGCAGGAGAACTATAGGCATAAAAATTACTGTGGCATCTTTTGTATAGGTGATTTGCAAGTCTTGAACATTGCTGACAGTAAAAAAATCAACCAATCAGATATTGGTTATTACGTCATCAGAAAGGGGGGTGAAAAAAGAGGGGCAACGGTTTAGAAGTAAGCCCGGGTGCACAAAAACTTGCAGTGACGAAAATGGCAGAAAAAAAGGGCAGACTCGTGCTTGCCGCGGTGCTACACGCAGGCACTGCGTCACGCTGGGATTAATGGTTTTTCATGTGGAGGGGTGCACGCTACACTAAGCAGCTGAAGAGATAAAGCCCCCGCAGTGACTCATCACCAGCGGAGAAACAAAATAGCAAAGAGATGGACCCAAAAAGAGCAGTGGAAGAGTGAGAGGAGCTGTTCGTTCATGGGTCTCTCATGAATATTCTAATTGACAGCGTTATCTCTGTGATGATTATTAAGTGTGGCCCACCAGGCTCCACTCTGGGCTAATGTAGCGGAAAGAGAGGGGCTGTGAGAGCTTTAATAGGGGGCTCTTTGTGTTTTTTGTATCCACACACACTGATATAGGCCACCGTATGTATATTGTGGCAGGCGCATGTGAGTGTGCAACCATAAGTTTGATCGGATTTTTGGGGTTTACTGCAGTAGTTTGGCTTCATCCATCTTTGCGTGTATGCCTGCATCTATGTAAAACTATGGGTTTGTCACTAATGTGGGTTGACAGGTTACTGTGTAGTGGTTTGGTGACAGCATGTCTCTCTCTCTGTGTGTGTGTGTGTGTGTGTGTGTGTCAGCCTTATGTATAAATCCCCTCCTGCACACATTTTCGAATCCCTTTTGATGTTTGCTACGGAAACATTTTCCTCTGCATTGCTCATCTCCACCCCTGGCTTTAACCCACTAGCACCAACAGAGCGTCAGATGCTTGTTGAATGCTCGTCTGATGCTTGTTAGAAATACATGTACGTTGTTTACATGTCTGCACACGTGGCATGTTTTGAACAGAATCTGACTGCTGAGACAAATTCTGCAGAAAATGAATATTCAATTTCAAACTGTGATTCAGATTCACGTAAAATAATCCACGACGTGCTAGTGCAAGACAAAGACACTGGTCTGCAACCGCATGTCGTGCATCAGTAGATCACCTTTTGTTTGTTGGTAGCCGCATTTGTCTAGAGGCTTTGCTTTTGTCCTGGTTGCTGCTTCAGCAAAGCCAGCCCTGGGATACATCACTGTGTGGTGTAACACTGATTTGTCTGGACTGGACTGAAGTCACGATTGTGGGTCAGCATGTTCTTTGTCAGGGTTTGTAAAACACATTAACACACACATAACAACACACACGCGCTCTCTTTCTCCATTTTTCCTGAATGTATTCTGACTTGATTGTTGCAACATGACTTTGTCCTCTTTTTATGTGTGTAACAGGAGATAATAAATCATTTAGATACATAATATCTTGTTCTGAGAGAAGGTGAAACGTTGTCTCCAGCTGCCAAAGCCTGTTTACAGTTGAATTGTATTCAAATGTTGTTCTTGAAATGCCTGGAAAAATCACCTGCAGTCACACAAGAATTTGAAATTCAAAGCAATCTATCATTTGAAGGGAAAAAAACAACTTGATGGCGTTGTGTGCATGTGAGTGTGCGCGTGTGTGTGTTTTGTTTTTCCTCCTTGTCACTATAGTGACAGCTTTATCAGTGGGACACAAGAAAGCGCTAGGATCCATTCAACCCCATATCAGTTGAGCAGCACCCCACTGTTTACTTTTCACCGTTTCCCTTTTCATAGACTGATCTTTGTGAGAAAAAAGAACACATACACACAAAAAAAACACATGTCAGGGAAGTTATTGCAAATTGTCTCCACTGAGTGCACGTTCTGAGAGCGAGGCTAAAATGTCTAAAGTGTGTATTCTCTTCCCTTCAGGTGTTTCTGCCCAGCTGACAAATACCCGCCTGAGGAGGAATACCTCTGTGGGAACTCCCTTCTGGATGGCTCCTGAGGTACAGTAAAACAGAGCCTATAAACACTCCCGCAGCCTCATCTCTTTCCACTACATTAGCCTGGAGCAGATCCCAGTGGGCCACAGTTAATAATCATCAAAGAGATAACACTGTCAGATACAGTGGGAAAAAACAGAATGGACGGCCTCCATCATTTGTGTCCTGTCTAATCATAGCTCTAGTGCACCAGCAGTTCATATATTGCCTATACAGACTGCATCAAGAACTGATCATTTTATACCACTTGCATCCCTGTGTCCTTTACCTTTTATGGTAGATAAATGTAACTTACGTTGTATAAGGGACAATATAAAGTGAAGTGATCTCCTAGTTTGAGGTTATTGCTCTTGATTCATCTCACTGGAGTTTATTTTGTGACAATGATCAATGTCTTTTCTCTTGAAAGTCTGTTTCCGTACTTGAATCATAAAATGGGGAAGAAGTTGCAGTTTCTCTGTGTTGTCTGGCTTATCCAACGGTTGAGCACAAGCATCCCTCCCAAGTTGCACATATTTACATCCGATGCCATTATTTATTGCCAGTGCAGGAAGTAGTGTGCCCTTTATAAAGCAAGTTTGAGAGTGACTTTTATGCCAAAGCCGGAAGTTTGCGTAAAAAAGTGAAGCTTTTTGTGGCTCCAGCAGTAGCTGCACAACGTCTGATAAAATTGGCAGTGTGGAATTAGAAAGAACTAAGCTTATGGGACCTCTGTAGCCCAATCTCTGCTTGAGGCTTGAGGCTACATTCGCTGCTACTAGCAGAACACACCTGATCTGCATTGTGGGTAATAAAAGCACCAGGTTTTGACACGGTGGAATAAAAAAGACAATATATTGCACTAAATCAGTGGAGTACTCTTTTAAAGGTCCAGTGTGTCTGCTACATGCCACTTAATCCTGCACACTGGTTCTACAATGTTTGGGTACTTTAGTTATTACCACAACCTTTCCCTAACCTGAACAATACCGTAGTTGTCATACACAGACATTGTTAAAATGAAGAATTCAAAAAACATTGTCATTGAACATAATGCAGGGTTGATTAAACATTTGGTCTGTCCATGGGGTTAATTAAATGTGTAAAAATAAAAACATTTCATGGACTGGCAATGAATGAAAACAGCTCACTAAAACTTAACTATTTGGTAATTGCAAATTTTTGGTGTTGTATTTTGTTGTTATTTTATATACCAATGATTGTATAAAGCAGTGTTAAAGAAGTTTAGTAGATAGTAAAATCAAAGCAAAAAGGTGGCACACTTATGAAAAAGCAAGGAAACACTTAAGAATACGACTTAACTTCCAAGGACGTCTTGACTGTTCACGTCCACTTGTAAAATCAAATTGACTATCTTTACATGAGGTTTGCATGCGGTGCAAATTGTGCATTAGAATACATGTGACGTGTCCTGTCAGGACTCAAAGATTTTAATCTCATTTGTGTAGGATCCTCGTCATCAAAGAAAGTAGCTTGGATGGACTTTTTAGACTAGTCTTTGGTTGAAAGGAGAATTGTAAACAGGGATCTGCAGTATTATTATTACAAGAAAATAAGCGTTATCGCCAACATTCTGGATAATAAACTTTTGTTTTTGTACAATCACGGTCTGACCTACTGTCTAAAGAAGATCTGTTTATGTGCCTTTGTGTTGTGGGGTAAGTGTCACATCTATAGCTTTCAGCTAAATTTTTATTGACTTTATTTATTTTAGGCTTTGTTCAGAGTATATATTGGCTCTTTTGGGGATATATTTGATCATTTAAAGTTGCATTTTTTTTGCAAAATAATGTTCATGAGGACTGATTTAACATAGATTTTTTTGAGTGTTACTTATGTTTGTTATGTAGAGGTTTAACAGAGTAGTGAGGGACTTTATGTTTTCCATAAAGGATTGTGTGTCTTTGTGTGTGTTTGTGTGTCTTTGTGTGTGTTTGTGTGTGTGTGTGTGTGTGTGTGCGTGTGCGTTTGTACAGTTCTTATTGATCTGGTAATGATTGCCTGTGTACATAAGCACATGCCTATTGAGAATTGGGAACACAAATTAAATAGATTTTAGACATTTGACAATAATAGTGAACGTTTGTTTTCGTCTGTGTGTGTGTGTGTGTGTGTGTGTGTGTGTGTGTGTGTGTGTGTGTGTGTGTGTGTGTGTGTGTGTGTGCGCGCATTTGTGTGTGGTTATGTGTACACATGCCTCCCACTCAGAGATGAGTCATATTGTTGATTGGGTACCATGTAGCCCTAAAGACATTGATGACAGACTGTGAGTGCATGTACTTGTATGTGTGTGTGTGTGTGTGTGTGTGTGTGTGTGTGTGTGTGTGTGTGTGTGTGTGTATGTGTGTGTGTGCACTATATTGCCCACAGCAGATGATGATGAGACTGCAGCTTTGGCTGAGCTCTGCTACAGTTTAAATTAGGCTACTTTAATATTTGTATATACATCTTGCATTGCTACATGTTTATTTAGTGTATAGTGGATGTGTAAGGGCTGACAAAATCCACTAACAATACATTAATATTGGCTTCTAAAAAAGGAAATAGACCCACACTTTACACCTTTAGTCCCCCCTCAGACATTTCATCTCAAGCTCTGATCTTCTGTCGTTTTAGGGATGAAGGTTTAATGATGTTTTGATTTGAGAATTGTTGAAGCCATTGAGGGCAAAATAATTAGACTTGTTTATTAAATGATCCTTGAACTATTGCAACTCCCAAGACAATTCACCAAGACAGTGAAAAAGTTGATTACTTTCAATGGTTGTTTTTGCTCTTTTTGGTAACAAAAACACAATGATTCCTATATTCAGGTGAATATACACTAATATTACCATACCTATGAATATTATATTCTATTTCTGCCAATAGATGCTCATAAATGTTACACACTGGACCTTTAATTTTTGCCTGTTTGGAATTGTTTTTGTTGCTATGAGAAGAGCTATTCACACATAAATTATTTAATGTCGTCAACAACATTCAAACCGACATAACACGACTCATATGCTCTTTTTGTAATTCAGTTTCAATAGCTTGATGTTTTCGATACCGTCTGTCTCCTGTAGGTAATCGCATGTGAGCAGCAGCTGGACTCCACCTACGATGCTCGTTGTGATGTCTGGTCCCTCGGCATCACTGCCATAGAGCTGGGAGATGGAGACCCACCCCTCTCTGACCTCCACCCAATGAGAGCCCTTTTCAAAATACCCAGGTGAGCCTCCATTACACTTACACAGCAGTATTCATTATCAGGTGGCCATGACTTTGACCCTGCCACTGTCAATTTACACCTATTCTACTTTTCTGAATAAATACTCCTGGTGCTGATCAGGCTCTAGCTTTAAGGCGACAATGCTAACCAGTTAGCCACTGTGCTGCTTTACATAAAAAATACATTTATTTAAAGCCTCTACAAGGAACTTTAAGTGTGTATTGATTCTGGCAGTGTTTCTACCACCTTGTTTCATTGATTTCATTGGGAATCCAACCAAATTCAACCCAGAGGCTGGCAAGAATAACTACACAGAAATATCCAATCTTTTCGCTCTTGTTTATGTACAATTAGTCATATAGAGGCATCAGTATTAGAGACTGCTTCATAACCAGTTCTTGTAGTAAGCTCAAATTAAGATAATAGTTGCTCATATTCTGCCTTCTTCTAAAACTTTTGAACTTAAAGTTATAATTATGAATGCCATGGAAATAAGTTTTACTCATAGATAAATTACTTTTGCTCGTCTTGTGTTTTACTGAATGTTGGACTATAGCAAAATTACACATAATTGAATGTTTGGAGACACTAACAGCCATATTTACTTTCATCACTCACAATATGCATTTCCTATCTCCCTTATTTTGAACTAAATGATGAATGACTGTGTCAAAGTAAAGAAAGCGTCTTTATCCTCCTGACATCCTGCATGTTTCACACTCTGAGGCGCTTCAGTGTGGTGACTTCTTAATTACAACTTAAGAACTGAGAAATCAGAGCTCCCTGTGAGAATGTGAAGGCAGCAGCTGGCCCCAGTAGACCAAGCAAGCTTTTGCATTACATGTCAGCATCTAGTTCGTATTTATACAAAGTTAGTGAATGGCATTAGCTTCAATAAAAGAAAGTACATTTTCCTAGCCTTGTGTGGTAATAGGGCAAGGCTACAGTTAACTTTTAGCATGCAGTGATTTATTTTCAGTTGTTGCAAATTTTCTGCATTTTCATATGACAATAATAAGTTCATGAAATTGTCCTCACCCTTGCACAAGATTTTTAAATACATTTTTTATTAGCGTGATGATAAAAGATGAATACATTATCAATGTTTTTTGTTGATTCATTTTCTGTCTGTGGGTAAATTCATTCATTGATTAATCTTTTCAGCTATTACTGTTCTGTGAAGGCTTTCAAGTTACACAACATTATTTCAACTGCAGAACTAAAACAAGTCGATTATTTATTCACTGCACAGATGCAGATGGTCAGAAAGTAAAGACAGGGTAATGCACAGTAGTTTGCACTACTGCAATCTAGAAAAGCCATCTCCTGCTCCCCAACGCAGCGATTTTCTTCTCTCTACTGACTGTCACCAGACAAAGTACAGTCTTTTCATCTCAAATGGCTTTTTTCTGTTCGTGGGGGCTTATCCATAAACTCCCCTCCTGGCACTGATTCCATTCATCCTGTGGGGGTAGGCCGAGAGCATGCAGCCTTTTTTCATCTGCGTGTATTGTGGGCTGAAGGTGAAAAGTAATTGTTTATTGTCTCCTGATTCCAGTGTGAGAGCTGCATAAGCACTTACCGTCACTGTCATCTTAACGGCACAGCACTTTTTCCATCACTGCCCTGAAACGTAGCGCTCCTGCACACACACACACACACACACACACACACACACACACACACACACACACTTCTGTGTCTTGGCTGTCCTGTGTGTTTGCTCTGGGGGTTGTGCTCCACAGGAGCCATCACACAGCTTCCTCAGAATCTGTGTGACTGCTGCAGCCAGAGCTTCAGGCTGTCTGTTCACACTCCTCACTCCCCTCCTCTCACTACTCTGGGTTCATTCGTCAAGCAGTCTCGGAAGAAGCCACGCTGAGGGCATTGATTCAACCACACCACGTCTTATTTAATTTGGGCTGACTTAAATGCTACCAAATATAAACAGAAGATCATCAACACCATTTGTTACCTCTTAGTGCTGCTGTTTACAGTATAGTTTTAACTGGAAATCTACCACATAGCCTAGTAAACAAGCTTACACACAATACAACTCCATGCACCAATACAGTATAGGCCACACACATTTCAGCTAAATCGCCATCTCTCTGACACAGTCCAGATGAAAATGAGATTAATTTGTAATTAGCATTGTTTTTTTTTGTTTCTTTTATTCCGTCATTCCCCTGTGCAGTAGGCTTATATGTAGTAGGGTGGGTGTTGTTACTATTAAACAGCAGGACTGCTAACATGATTCATAGAAAAATAATCAGAACCTGCAGAAACGAACACAGTGAATATACATCATCTTTGAACGCCTGTTCCAGTGACATAGGCTATAACATAAGATTATTAAAAAACAACATCAAGCCTAACTTTATATCCATCTCTAAGGTTTCAGATAATATTTATGTCCACTGTATATTGACATACAGTATGCATCGTCTTTCAAACATTCAACACATGAGTAAAGTTGAAATTAACATACCGTACACAAGTCAGATTTCCTCTGTCTATGTCTGTCTGTCACTTTTACCCGGTATTTAAATTAAAGACAGAAACAGAGGAAGACAGGGAGGGATTGGGATGACACTATATGTGCAGAAGTCAAATCCCTGCTCAAAGCATCACACTCTGGAGCAGCTGAAAGATTAAATGTGCTCTCCTAATTATGCACAAGTTTAAGGATTTAAGCTTTTATCCTTCATTATGTGCAAAGGAGAATATTTGAATTTGCCACACATACTGTTCGATTTTATTGCAGGACAAGGCAAATACAACATTTACTGGAGCATAAACAGGATATTAAAATTAAAATACCTCCTCATATTTGTATCCAGGGAAATAAAAACTCAAAAAAGTTATCCACAAGACCCTGTTTGTCTTCTTGATAAAAAGGAACACACTTTAATAGTCACAGCATTAGCAGAAGAGACTCCTAATAAATGTCTGACGCATTTGCTGTCTATATAGGCTGTGTTGTGTGATAAACAGGAGATGTATGCCCTCTCATTAGACCAATTTATCTCTGTCAGAGCCTACGTGTAAAAAGGCCCCGATGCATTAGCAGGCAGCATTGACTTCGCCACCACTTGCCAGGAACACTCTTGTAAAAAGGTACTTAAAGCAGAACGAGGAATTATAGCAAATTAACTCAGTTGTTTGCCGTCTGTGAGGCCTTGTTAGGGTTGACCCCTTAACAGCATTTGTCAGTCTAAATGGGCTGTTTTACCGGAGAAACCTTACGCTTTTAAGATCTGGTTACATATTTGATATCCAGCACACCTGACTATTGCTTTTCTGTCATAAAATCAGCTGTATCAAGACCACATGGCTGCACAGGTGGAGGACCATTTGTTATTGCCTCATGCCACCGCAGAAACACCTCTGGATGTCCTCGATGACGAATAGTTAAGATTTCACTCCATCGTTCCACTCTGTGCCTCTGCCTTTTGTTCTCCTGGCCCGCCTCCGTAAATCCCATCTCATCTTATCTTTCCATTTATCTTTTCCATTTCTTCCTTTAACAGAAATCCTCCGCCTACTCTCCACCAGCCGGAGCTTTGGTCAGACGACTTTAATGACTTCATCTGCAAGTGAGTGCGGATGCTCCTGTGTTTGTTATGCCTCTGTGGATAATAAATATTTACACTGATAGTACATAACCAAAATAAATTTGAATATAAATCCACTGCACTCCTCCTCCTCCTCCTCCTCCTCCTCCTCCTCCTCTTCCTCCTCTACCTATTCTCCCTCCTCCCCACAGATGTCTGATTAAGGACTTTGAGCTGAGACCAAATGTGCTAGACCTGCTCCAGCATGTGTTCATCAAACAGATTGTTGGCAGAGAGAAAATACTGCAGAAACAATTGATTGAACTCATTGATCTCAACCAACAAATAGGAGTCATTGAAAAAACAAGGTACTGTCCAAACTACATTTTGCTTGCTCGTTTCCTCGTTTCCTCTCCAAAGTCTCTCGTTTCTATGTGTATTTCTGACATTTTAGAAGTTGTACTACCCCTGTTTGTCTCGCAGTACGAGCAGAATACTCACACCATAAAGGGTTTGATAGATTTTGTTATAAACCCCAAGAAAACTTAAAGTCTGCAAGCCCTCCTGACAGTGGGTTTTATATGTTAGGCTGCAGCTTAACGTTTGCAGACAGTATAATCCAAATTACCCTCCTTGCTGGATGTTTTACAAGCCCTGTCACCCTCACATAAACAACAGCTCAATCCTGCTCCAGCTTCACTCGAGGTGGAGGCTGCACATCGTGTGTCACATGAGTCAAAATGTTGGCCCAAAAAAGTGTGTATTGCCCGTACGGTCATGAAATGTTAATCCTATTTCTGTCATTCAAGCCATCATGGAAAGACAGACAGAAGCACAGACAGTAATGACAGGTAACAAATGCCTATATGACCTTTATGCCACAGTAGGAGTAGATGATTATTGGCTCTTTTAGTTCGGAGCTCTTGTCGTAGTTGTGTTCGCACATGTATTTGCAATCAAGCACATGGGCTGGTTTTAGATTTTTTACATGCTCCCACCTGCCATGGCTTTCTGTCTTATAGGTCATGTTGCTGTCACATTTTCTCTGTAACTGGGGTTATGAGCTTTGCTGTGAAACACTACAGCAGTTGATGAGCTTCAAACCTCACCAGCGTTCATCAATAACTTTCACATAAATGGAGTTTCAGCAGAGATTAATTTCAATCACGATGGGAGATTACCACCGTCATCAACTAAATAATGATATATTTTCATGTAATAGTCAGATGTAATCAAACATTTCTGTTAATACATTATGTGAGGAAAACAGTAGATTGTAATGAGGTATTCCTAAAAAGTGCAGTCATTTTAAGCACTGCTGTTTACTGTCTGCATTTTGTTAATTCCAGATTTATTTTATTTAAAATGTGTTCTCACAGTAAACAGTGCAGATATTAGCCATAATCTCATGTCTGGAGTAACTAGTTAATATAAGGGAGGCAGATGGAACATTTAATAAGAAGTTTATTTAAGCCATCTTCTGGCTTCCAACACTTGGTGAAACAACCATCTAGAGTCTGGCAAGCGAAAATGTATACTGACGGACCCCATGCTTCAGCATTAGTGCTAGAGGATTATATTTACATTTAGATCTTTATCTAGTTTAATCTGTGATTATATTTACATTGTTTTCAGTTTGTTTTAAGTGAGGAGATGTTCCATTTTGCCTCAGCAAACACCATTGGCTGCACCATGGGCCGACTGAATTTTTATTGTTATGTGGAGTACATACATTACATATGTTGCCCAGTTAAAGACTTGGTTGTGTATTTGTGAGTTCTAGGCATGAACGCATCCACACTAAAAGAGGAGGCCACATGAAGACACAGACTGACCCAGATGAGGTGGACGACCTCGCCACCCTAGAGGTTCTAGACGAGGTAGGATAGTCGACAGTCTACAAAAACAGTAATACTCTGCTGCAGTCATGAGGGGACAGACATTCTCACAGTAGACATAATAAAGCAAAAATGGTGTAAACAGATTACAATTGTGAGATACAGAAGAACTCCTAACGTATTTCATGACAAAGGACATCATTGTATTCTCTGTTGTGGAGGAAGATTGTCTTTGATTTTGGACACAGCAGTTGTCAAAATAATCTCTAACAATAAATATATCTTTTCAAAAATCCAGTCCACACCACAACAATATTGACAATAAGATTACTTTCAGAGCGATTTGATGAATGATAATATGATATACAACCTATTAAATGCGTATAAAATATAATTTTAGGCCGTAAATCACACATTAAAAAAACATAATTTGACTTTTTCGGGTCTCTGAAGTCCTTAATTATGTCCTCTGTTGTTGTTGTTTTATACCAAAGTACAACTCTTGTAAAAGAGTTTTGGATAACTCCTCTCGTCTCTGAAGAACTGTGAACCCATATATTATATATACGTACAGCAGTAGCAGCTCATAAGTACACATTTTCCTATTAAGCTGCCAACATTCATTCATCAGTGTGAATGCTCACATTGTTATCATTATAGTTATTGTCATAGTGCTTTTGGTGTGGACGGCCGTTAAGCCAACAAGAAAAATGAAACTTTGAACATTTACATTTTCATAATAACTGAGCAATCTCCATGTGCAGAGGAAGCCCACATGAAACAGTCAAAAGCTTCAGAACAGCCGCTGGATGGACCACAACGATTACATTTACATCTGAAAAAGATCTATGATATTCTGTAAAAACATAGTAATTGTTATATATATTGTAATGATTGCGTCCAGTGCTATTTGTACTTTATTTGCTTGTTTTTCCCCGATCAACCTTGTCGGTCTGTTGAACAACCAGTGAAAAATGCACGGCAGCATGTTTTGCACAAATAACACGAAGAGCAATTTATCAAATCTGAATGCTGCATTGACGTATTGAATGATACAATCAGTCTGAGTTGCCAGCGGATATTTCCACCCATCCTTCAAGATGAGGAGCTCTGCTGGTGTGAGGGATGCAGTGTCCTGCTGTTGTTGATGTACCTGTCCCGGCAGTGAGAAGACAGGGAGAATTAATCACCATATGACATAATGATAATACATTGACGTAACACGCGTCAGAGGCCTTGACTTGAGGCAGGACATAAGCTAAAGTACAGCTTGTTGTCTCTCATAATAGGGTTCTGACAATAATCCTGGTTATACCGGTTGTGTGAATCACGCTTGTTGCTGTTTTTCAGAACATAGTCGCAGAGAAGCTTCAGATCCGCTATGGAAGAGATCAAATTTACACGTATGTGGGAGACATCCTCATCGCAGTCAATCCTTTCCATAAGATGGAGATATACACTCCTCAGGTTTGTGGATCTAGGCCTTTTTTGTGTGGGTGTGTGTTTGTTTTACGCACCTGTGCTCATACATTTGGTCAATAATGTACTGAATGTAGCCCAGCGTATCTCATTAGTGCCTCTGCAGTTCTTCAGTCGGCTGCATCCCATTTAGCCTCACCTCCACACACACACACACACTCACTCACTCTGCCCCTGTTTCCCTGTCTCTTCCACAGCTCACTGACTGTATTTTCCTCCTAATCATCATGTTATGCTTTGCCTCAAGTTTGTAGCTATTTTTCATTCCTCTCCTCTCAGAACAAAAATATAATATAGTGTATGGACAGATAGTTTGCACCGAGGGAAAATGGTGTGTAGTAGCAAAAAGAAGCAAAGCCATATCATGATAACATTCATTTAATTTTCTAATACATAATATATGCTTTGTATCAGTTACATTCATGTGCATGTTTTAAACCAGTATTTTCTTTTCATTCTTAACCATCATACCTTAATAGTACACTAAGATGTACATAGGAGCTAAGCGTACAGCTAACCCACCACACATCTTCGCTGTGGCTGACGTGGCCTACCAGTCCATGGTGTCATACAACACAGACCAGGTAAGATTTTGTGGTCTCTGAGTTAGCTGTTGTCACTAATGGAGTCAAATGTCCTTATAGTGTAATTTTGTTAGCATTATTACCACAAGCTTCCCATTAAACTCCTTGCCTTTCTGTGTGCAGTGTATTGTGATCAGTGGGGAAAGTGGAGCTGGGAAAACAGAGAGTGCTCATCTGTTGGTGCAGCAGCTGACGGTTCTTGGGAAGGTGAGTCATAAATGTCCATGAATGTAACATTTCATTAACATGTCCTTCCCATTATAGTTTATTCATTCATTCAAGGATCATAAAGTCTTCCTGAATAAAAACATGAAATATGCTATTTAAAATGACCAAAATGGGTATTAGACATTCATATTCACAATCATACAAATCTTTTCTATAAAAGCATTTCAGACTAACAGAACTCCAAAGTTAAAGTTTTGAATTGTGGAACAGCTGTATGTCTTGGCCAGCAACCTGTGTACCTCCAGCCAACTGTGGATATTTAGAAAATTCAATATCTAAAAGGCACCATCAAGGCACTTTGAACATCCTATGATCAGTTTGTTTGACGCTCCAGCTGAGGCCAGTCACGATTTGCAATTTGATTGAAAAGAAAGTTACATTTCAAATCACTTTTTGCATTTTTTTTATAGGTGGAGGGATGAAATAAGAAATGGCAGTGTCACTTTTGATGAGAATAACAGGAATAGAAAGGCTTATGACAGGAATCCATGCATCATTTCATGACAGAGATGTATTGCTTGCACTATATTGGTTTCCCAGTTACTTAGCTCGAATAATATTTTATTCAGGCCAATAATCAAACACTCCAAGAGAAGATCCTGCTGGTCAACAACCTGGTGGAGGCTTTTGGGAACGCCTGCACTGTCATCAATGACAACTCCAGCCGCTTTGGCAAGTACCTGGAGATGAAGTTCACTTGCGGAGGAACGGTTGTCGGAGCGCAGATATCTGAGTACCTGCTGGAGAAATCCAGAGTCATCCATCAGGCAGTGTAAATATCACTTCTTTCCTGTTTTTGTTATTTTTGTCAAATGTAAGCAACCTCATGACAGTTATTACTATTCTGACCTTCTTTTGACAATGACATCCATAGAAATTAGAATCATTTGTCTGTACGTTTTCTTAACATTGCCAGGAAAGTAATTTTTCAGCCTGCTGGCCAGGGATCAGCTCATAATGGAGTCTGTCTCTCTTCCCTTCACCTCTACCTTCCTCCATCTGAAACTGGTGGTATTTGCCTTCCACCTGCTCTTCAGTCAATCCATCTTTTCTTCTTATCATGTGTCTGGGGAGCGAACCGGGTCAAGTGGACCACAATCTTTGATCAAACAGGAAATAAGCTAGCTCTTATTTCCTGTTTGATCAAAGATTGTGGTCTTGCAAGTATCCTTAGTGGAACTTCAAAGGCAGCCTCAAGTATACCATCAGAAAACAGACACAGAGGTCAGAGGGTTTGATTTGGCTGCGAGCATTGTGTGTATTTACTTTTCTTCAGCCTGTTATTGGATACTAATTTGGGGGGATGGCAAAGAATTATGCTTCAAAAGAGGCATTCATATTTCATTACTGCTGTCAGGAACATTATGTTTTTGGATTTGTTTGTTTGTGAGGATTTTGGTAAGCAGAATATCTAAATGACACATTTTATTGGTTAGGCCAATAGTTCGGCCAGTAGCTTTCTTCTATAAATGTAGCCATGCCAAGATTACCCTTGACATCATCAGAGTTATTTTACCAGACTAACAAAGCTCCTGCATAGCTACAGAAGACATTGTACAACTGTTTTCACTCATGTGGAGCCCCTAAACTTAAGGTTTAAGTTATTAGGTAAGTCAAAATAATAGTGTTACTTAAATGAATAACACTAAAATAATGCAATGTGGTGATTTTTATTTTTGTCAAATATAAAGACTGCATGGATCTTTGACAGATTTTATTTTTATTTTACATGTTATAATATAATATGAGATGATATACAGATATGGATACATTCATCCATAGATAAAAAAAAAAACGTAAGTATTTAACTAAAAATATTATTTATTGATGTATTTTGTTATATTTTTTACTTGTCTGATATTGTGAAATGCTTCTCTAACAAAAGATGGTGCATACATCTTGCAAGGCTGAGTAATTCTCCTGTCTGCTTTTTAGGTTTCAGCTTGTTTCCTCCTTGTTCATTGTCTTATATCTGCAATATTTTCATTTTACCCCGCTGGCTTTAAGACCTGAATTTCCAAGCTACATCTTGTATTTCCACAGAGGGGAGAGGAACTTCCACATCTTCTACTACATTTATGCTGGCCTGGCTGACAGGAAGAAACTAGCCCACTACAAGCTCTCTGACAGCAAAACACCTAAGTAGGTTTGACATTCCTTAGCCCTTCTTTTAAACACTGTTATTTCCCACTCACAAAGCAAACTTCCTACTTCCTGTGACCCAAATTGTGATCTTTGTGTTTCCTTTTTGATCTGCAGGTATCTGTGCAACGAGCACATTAAATTAGGGCCTGACATAGTGAGCAACACCTTCTACAAAGAGCAGTTTGATGCAGTGGAGCAGTGTTTCAAAGTCATTGGATTCACCCTGGAGGTACAAACTACTGCATTAATTACTTGGCGCAAAGCTGAACGTGGTCTGCCAACAAGGTTTAACAGCAAAATCTTCATCTTAACGTTCACACATGCTCTCACACTCACGTATTATATGAAAATGTGTATAACTATATGACAACATGTAAGTAAGTATACCAATGAGCTCTAAAAAAAATACATAACATACGCTTTAAAACTAGAGGAGAAGTAGTTCCTCACGTCCACTGTACGGCATGTGATGGAGCATGAAGCTACAGGCACATGTAGGCAGTCAGCTGTTAGCATTGTGGAGGCTAATGAAGCTCAAAGAACTGATTGCCTCTGGGATCTGCACGTCAATAGTACTTATCGTGTAATGACTTGGCAGTACTGAATGAAAAACCTTTCTTCTACAGTCCATTTTGTCTTGCATGAAATCAGTGTGAACTCTATAAAGAGGATCTTTGAATTCATCTATCTTGAGACAGTAACTTGCATGTAGACAGATTTCCAAATTTTGCTTCAGGTGAATAAAGGAGTTTATTTTTATTTTATTTTTTTGAATATTACTTTTGTTGTCATATTATGACATCTCAAACCTCAATCTCATTTCTTTTCTCAATAAAATGTAAGGTTTGTTCACTGGTGCTCTTTTTGTTGTGTTTTTAGCTAATTAACTTGTATATTTAGACCACACAAACCATTGTCATTGTGACCAGACACAAAACATTACATCCTATATAAAAGGACATTTGATTAATTGGCCAATTTGAATATAATGGACCATATTACAGCACTTGAACTGAGATAAAAACAGTACAACTCCTCCAAAACATCAACCTTCATAGCACTCACATTTGTTGGGAGCTCAAATTATTTACAAAAGCTTTTAATTTGAGGGTAAAAATTACTCATTTGAGATACTAATAATGATTAATGTGCTCGAGTTGTCCAAAAATGTAACCCATCTGACCACCAGCAACACCTACAATGGCAATAATTCATGTCAAACAATGACAATGATCTAATTCAAGTACTACTGTGTTATATTAGCTGATAATAGAGTAATGAAAAACAGTCATTATGGTATCTTTAAAATTTCCATCCAGATATACCAGTACATGAGGCTGTACAATGTACCTGACATTATTTGATATCAAGGTGACAACATATACTGTCTCCCAAACTCTAAGGTAATAAAGTATTACAATCACTTCTGCAGGAGCTGGGCAGCGTTTACAGCACTCTGGCTGCCATCCTCAACTCCGGCGATATCGAGTTTTCTCCGGTTGCCACGGAGCACCAAACTGACAAGAGCGACATCACCAACATTTCTGTCCTGGATAACGGTAAGAGGAGAAACATCTACATCCCCACTCCTTCCCCTCCCCCTTCTGCTCTCCTCCTTTAAACTATTCTTCTGAAATAAGTTAACCATTGGTGCAAACAGGCTACAGCTGTATTGTCATTACCAAACATACAGTCATTAGGCAATGGTTAGAGTTAATGGAACTTTGTTTTCCTCTGGTATTATAGATCCTAAAGCAAGAGAGCATGAGTGTCCTTTGTCACTTATTTTTATGTGCACCCCAGAACTCTAAAACATTATTTTTATTTCTGAGGAGAGTTAAGGTTGCACATTTGCACACCCCGCATGTATTGCTTGCACTCATTCAACTTTAGAAATGTTAACTTTCATCCCATTCCTTATCTAATGTCCCCTTAGTGGCATCACTGCTGTGTATCCGCTCAGACGAGCTCCAGGAAGCCCTGACCTCCCACTGTGTTGTGGCCCGGGGAGAGACAATCGTCAGGCCCAACACGGTGGAAAAGGCGGCAGAGGTGAGGGACGCCATGGGCAAGGCTCTCTACGGCCGCCTCTTCAGCTGGATTGTCAACCGCATCAACTCGCTGCTGCGGCCCGACAGCATAGGGTGAGAGCAGGAGCAGAAAATGTGATGTGTTTGGCTTGAATGCAAAATGAGGTAATCTCAGAAAGTTTCTACATTTGTATAGATGAAAAACTGCACAATAAGATCACTGCCAGCTCAGCAAATGTTAGCTTGTCAACACACTATAGTAAGATGGTGAACAAGCTGACATTAGCATTTACACAAATATAGTCTTACAGGCCCACTAACATGCCTGTAGACTTCTAGTCTTGTTTTCATCTTAATACACATTTATTTTTAACAGCCCTAGATTGTGTTTATCTAAGATTTCCTTCATATTTATTTTGTGGTTGACCTCTAAAACATAAAAAAATACATTTTAGAAGGGAAAAAGTACTTAGGGGCTTACTGGTCACAACTCACAGACATAGTCCACCTGTGACAAGGTACCATAACTAGGGAATCCTTCATTTCCAGAGGTCAGCCGCCAACATGGCGCTCGTGTAAAGTAATTGTGATTTTAGATAGAGGGGATGGACATTTTGGAGAAGCTGGGATGCTGCCGAACTGCAGTCGACATTTGACACAAATGACGAAACTAGTAAATACTTCTAAATGACTTTTCATTCCTCTGACCTCCAGAGAGGATGACAAGGGCTTGAACATCGGCATCCTGGACATCTTTGGCTTTGAGAACTTCAAGAAGAACTCTTTTGAGCAGCTCTGCATCAACATCGCCAATGAGCAGATCCAGTTTTACTTCAACCAGCACATATTCGCTTGGGAACAGGTAAAAGCTCGGACCAGCATCCACCCTAAACTATCAGTAAAATCAAAGAACACTTTCTGAGTGCTTGAATCCCTTCCTGGAAAGCGCTTTGTATGCATTTTTCACCTTGGTACTACCTCATTTCCATCTAAATGGTGATAACATGTCATCATTTGTCACTCTGTGCTTTAAGAGAGACGGCAAGGGTAAAATATGCTGCTGTCTTTATTTACGGGAGAATGAGGTTCGCGATTCTCCCTTTATTCAGTCTCGTGGGTGTGTTCTGCCTTGGGGGGGCAGAGAATGGTTTGCTAATGTTAAATGATTTGGTCTCACCCATAGAGAGGAGCTATAAATCATCCCAAACGAGGGTCAATTAGGAGTTGAAGACAGTTAGCGTTTGACTTAATCTCACTCTTGGGTATTGTTGGCACCAGGCCCAGAAATACATTTGTCCTATACTGCCACCATATATACAGAGCATAGGGGAATTGTAGTGGGCTATGAGATTAAGAAGCATAACCTAACTTGTCACATCTACAGTTAAATGAAGCAGATTTACCTATATGTTTCCATACATGTTTACACATGTGGACACGATATGCCTGCGTCCCTGCAGATTTCCTGATGCGGCTCGTTTACTTCGCAGTGTGCAGGTCACGCTAGAATAAGCCCGCTGATTTGATGTTGTTTGTTCCCATTTTGTCCTTTTCTTCTCAGAATAGAAGTCTCTAGTAATGTTGCTGAGTCATACTAGGAACTCTGAGAGTCAGTCAACCTGATGTGATCAGGTTAGCTGAGTATAAAGTGGAGGTCTTAGCTTACTTTGCCCTCCAGACCAGATTTATCCAAAGGGGGGAAGAGCTGTGTATAATGCAATGAAAGGCAACAAAATCTAGTTCTGGCTTGTTGTTGGTTGGCTGACAGTTGGCCAGTTAATAAAAAGTTTAGGCTCTCTGAACATTCAATCATGACATTTAAAAGTTAAAGCAAAGAGAACAGACTTAAAGGTGGATTTAAAGGTTCACTTGATATTCCTGCATCTGACATAACAGCACCAAAACAAAACTAAAAAACAGCTTCTGGCTTTACAAAGCTGCTCTGTTATTACAGCTGTGCAGCAGGAAACATCTCATCAATCACTTTTGTACAATCAATCCAACATGGTATTCTATTGATCAGATAAGATAAGATGTTCCTTTATTGATCCCCCATAGGAGAAATTCAAGTCAGACACAGCAACATAGGGGGAATGTGGTGCAAACAGCAAGTATAATAAAATAAAAATAAAAATTGCAAATACAAATATAAAATACAAAGTAATAAATGTTTAGTTAATACAAACATTTCTCTGCTTTTGCTGAACAAGAAAAAGGGTGGGAATGAACAGATTAGGAACTAATGTTTCCACCAAACTTTAGACAGTTTTTAGACCTGATGAGATCATTTTAGGCCACAATACAACACAACATGTACATCCAAGAGGTTGCCTTTCAAAAAAATAGAAGTAAGAATCTTGTGAAGCCATGGTTATAGTCACAGTATCTCCCGTTTCTGTACAGGATGAGTACCTGAACGAGGAGGTGGATGCTCGGATGATTGAGTATGAGGACAACCGACCCCTCCTGGACCTGTTCTTACAGAAGCCCATGGGAATGCTCTCACTTCTGGATGAGGAGAGTCGCTTCCCACAGGCCACCGACCAGACCCTCGTAGGTCAGTCCCTTCAGCTTACGATTGGACAACCTTTATTTGCCCTGCAAATGCTGACGGAGCTTGTTATGTCTTCAGAAACTCCCAATGTTCTAAAACAATTTTCATGTTAAGCAGTACCTACCAGCCTCACAGAACGAGAAATTGCTGATCTACCCTACAGAACATATTCATAGTGGTTGGGGGGTAATTAACCAATGTATTATTGGACATTTTAGAGAAATTTGAAGATAACCTCAAGACTAAAAGCTTCTGGAGACCAAAGAGGGTTGACCTTGGCTTTGGTATTCACCACTACGCCGGAAAGGTAATTGATATTTGATTATGACAATATGTACATGAAGGTTTTACTTTAAACTGAAGCTACTTGATGTGCGTTGGCCTTCACATAAGTATTCTTTCTCTCTACCTAACTCTAAGGTGATTTACAATGCTTCAGGCTTTTTGGCCAAGAACAGGGACATGCTACCAGCCGACATTGTCCTGCTGCTGAGGTCGTCAGAAAACGAGCTCACTCGCAAGCTGGTCACCCACCCCCTCACCAAAACAGGTAGAGGAGAAAAGCTCTTTCTTTGACGCACAGAAGGTTTCCCCCGGGAAAATAGGAAGACAAATAATAGGGAAGTTGTTTGCAACAACCTGTCATTTAGGCAGTTTATACAGTGAGCAGCATACTTAAAGTAAAACAACAGGCTATTGTTACCTATTTTAGCCAGGCTTTCCTCTCGTCTGCCAGACTTTTGTTGTAATAAGCTGGCCTTGGCAGTGAGAGTAACCTTTGTTACTTCCAGCTCTGTCAAAATCAAATCACAAAGCCAATAATCACATAATCACTCTCTTAAAGTAGTCTTAAAGCTGTCGTATCAAGCTCATATAAAAAGGAAAGAACTCCCCTGGTGTCTGCTCCATTGAGTTCAGTTAATTAAATGATCAACAGTTTTATTTTTTATGGTGTTCAGTGTGACGGGGCCTTTTTCCAGACTTTTAGACAGTTTTCTACTAAAAATATATATTATTTAATATACTAGCCTATATATTTATCCCAACTGATAAAAACATATGCACGCAGCCACATTTCTGTGTTTTATTCTTATATGTATTACTAACTCTCCCCTTGGTGAGTGAGGGCAGTTTGTGTTAACTGATCCTCCCTTTGTTTATTTCATAGGCAACCTTGCCCACACCAAGGGTAAAGGCATAAACACAATGCGCAGCCCGCGGACCCCGACACGCACCATCACCTTCGCCAAGGTACTTACAGCACTGTCTGCATTATCACTGTATTATCTTCTACATCAAGAACTTCCCCTGAAAAGTTGTTCAATCAATTTTTTCCTTCTTGTTCTCACTACCAGAGCCAAAAACTGCTCTTGAATTACAATTATCTCTTGTCTTTACAGTGCTTTTCATTTCTACTCTTTTTTTGTCTCCTTTTTGTCCTCCTCTCTCTGTCTGTCTCTCTGTCTCTCCATTTCTGTCGCAAAAGATGGGAGTCCTAACTTTATACAGTTCTTTTTCTTTTAGTGAGGTAATCAACATGTTTCCATATAGTTTGTTTTTGAGTATTATTTTACCAATGTAGATAGCCTTACTCGCTCTAGATCTAAAACTTACAAATAGATCAAAATGGTTTGTATTTCTATTAGCATCAGTGACAACTAAACCCTGTTACAATCAATTTTATAGCTTATGCAAAGCAAGCTATTTTCCCTACATTTATACATGTCTGCATATCTTTGTGCTCATGAATGTCTGCAACCTTTGTAGGGTGCTAAATGTATTAACACTCCCCCAACTACCTCTGAATGTATGTATGTCTTTTGGATTGTAGTTGAATGTTTATAGCACCATGGCTCATGCTGATAACTAGTTTAAGTTTAAACTTTTCAAAGAAATTGCCTAAGAAAGTAGTAAAACTTTACAGTTTGCATTCAAAGTATTCAATAATCAACCAGAGCTTTTTTCAGTTGCCAATGGCCAAATAAGAACTTCTTTTAAAGAAATGAAATTACTTACTTGAGTGAATTCATTTAAATTGTGGCAGTACACGTTTGCAGTGCCTGCTAAATATAAAGCTTGAGGCAATTTGCTCACCTAAAAGCAATTGACAGTAGCTACATTTAAATGAACTGTGTTTGATGAGTCCTTGAATCTATTTCCATTCATCTGCATATGTTAGACAAAAAGCTCATCAAAGGCTTCGCTCTTAAGAGGCACAATGAGCATTCAAAATGCTATAAACAGTATTAGCCTGATGGCTTGCTATAAACTGGTTTCCCCCAGTGTAATAGTGCTGAGAATTAGACGTAGAGCTTGTTAAAAAATAGATGCTGGATACAGGTTAATACATTTGTATGTGTAATGTGTTATATTCATATTGATGTCTTTATGAGAGCAAATACTGTAAGTTTTTGTTAGTGCATAGTTAATTAGAACAGTTTTTAAGCATTTCATTTATGATTTTGAATTTGTCTGATTTTAACTGAGCACTTTTTGAAGTAATAGCTTGGAGTTGTATTCATGCAGGCCGTACTCTTGATTTGGCACTGTTTTTTTTTTTTTTTGTTTATACATTTTATGCGTCTCTTTTGCAGCCTTCTCGGAAATTAAAGCACACTCCTGAAAAAAAAAGCTTGCTTCATGCACCTCTCGATGACACAGTGCAAATGCAAACGGTGATTTTTCAAAGGAAGATAAAAAAAAGTAGTATACAGAAAAATTGTAATGAAAATATCACTTACATTACAATTTTAAAGATGTGACTCTCCTGCAGGTGTGCTTCAGTTGACACAGTTGTTAATACTGTTCAAAACTTTATGTCAGCCAGTGCTCTCATTTCGTCTTGTTATGCTCAACTACCCAATTGGCCTTATGTGCATTGTCCTAAATTTTTCCCTTGCTTCTCATAAAGTTGAATGTAAAGGCATTAGTTTGTAGACACATACAGTATGCCATGAATTATTGTGATTTTTGACTAGCTTCATTTTTATCTGTACAGCCAGGAGAACCTGGAGACACGCCTTACCACCCAAGAGAAACCACCAACATGAGAACGCAGACAGTGGCCTCCTATTTCAGAGTAAGACTAGTTTCCTTACCAAAATTGTTACATAAACCCTTAATAAAGCTGCCTCATGGGTTTCCCTCTTCTTTTTCTCTTTCCAGTACTCTCTGATGGACCTGCTGTCCAAGATGGTGGCAGGGCAGCCTCACTTTGTTCGCTGTATCAAACCAAACAACGATCGGCAGTCCAACAAGTTTGACCGGGAGAAGGTCCTAGTTCAGCTGCGATACACTGGAGTTCTGGAGACTGCCAAGATCAGACGACAGGGCTACTCTCACCGGATCCTGTTTGCTAACTTCATAAAGAGGTCAGCAGGCTCTCACTTCCCACCAAGGCTCATTCAGATGAAAATCAGTGTATGATGTGTGTTGGCCCTTGTATTAGTGTCAGTATTAATATTAGCTGATTCCGCTGTCTGTTTCAGGTACTACATCCTAGCTTTCCATGCTCATGAGGAGCCAGCTGCGACTCAAGAAACATGTGCTGCAATCATGGAGAAGGCCAAGCTGGAGAACTGGGCAATGGGGAAGACTAAGGTTAGTAGAGATGTTTCATTTTATTTAACTGAATGTATTATTTGGCTCTACGTTTGATAATGCAGTATGAAGGAACTGAAGTAGCAGGGCTGTATGCTTACATTTATTTTTAGGGGGACTAGTGCCCAGGGGCAACCTGGCTTAACTGGGACATTACTAAAGCATTTTGAAAGATAAGATGCACTTAGGATATAAAAAAGGGCAGTATTGCATTGTGTTTCACAAATACATCCCTTTTCAAACAACCAATTATTTTTAGGCTTTTGCAATTACGCTTGGCATTTAATCGGAATCCTTTGAAACCTCTTAGTAAACCTATTTATATCTGCGTTCAACTTTTTTAAATTATAAATAACTAAAACTCAAAAGATCCAGAATTAACAACTCTGCTCAATTTATTGATTTAATATGAATGAATTACACTTGTCACTGGGAAATTCTGACTGAAATAAACGAGAGGCAATCAGCTGATGATTTTACTAGACTTGACAACAGCAAACTGTCATTTTGACCTGTTATTAAGTTAGTCATGGAACTAACATTTAGTTAATGAGAGTTGATATGGCCTACTGTTTTTCCATTTAATTGGCTGAAAAGGAAAAGCTGCTTCCTGAATAATGTATACACTAAACATCACTAATAACAGCATCAGAACTTGCACATTCTTTAGCCTGGTCTATGGGGGAGCAGCATGGCTATAAACAGTAACAAATCAACCAGATCACCCTATGATACTGTATGTTGAGTAGCAGTCTGGAAATTGTGAAGTGAAGTGAAATTAGTTGAGCAACTAGACCACCACTAAAAAGGCCAAAGTAGAACCCCATGACATTCACTTACTGTGTAGAACAGCTTCCCAATAACACTGACAACATAATGGCTTGTATTGATTACACATTTTTATGCCCACATAAGGGCCAGGCCATGCAAAGCAAGACTGCACCTAATTCATTCACACTCCACAACTCTACCAGTTTCTTGTACAAAATGTAAGTAAGATTGTTGTTGCACAAACATAGAAGCAGTATCATTACTGCAACACTCTGAAATTCTTCTAGCAAGTCAGACAAGCATGAGAAAGGACATTATGTGCTACACTGCAAACAGGTGCCACCTTAATGGAAGGAACTTGTAGCTTAAGTAGTAGTTGCACAGACAAAAAATGCAATTAGCTGTTTCATTGCAATATTAGTAAATCCAAAATAAAATTGATGTGGTGATGAGTAAAGTGTTTTATGTGTGTTCCTACTCGCAGGTGTTCCTCAAGTACTACCACGTGGAACATCTGAACCTGATGGTGCAGCAGGCCACACAACGGATCATTCTACTCCAGGCTTACGTCCGAGGCTGGCTGGGAGCGAAGCGTTACCAGCGGACATTAAAAGAGCGAGAGCAGAGTGCTCTGGTGCTGCAGTCAGGTTTGTAAACTGCACACTCTGTACAGCTGTTATCTACTAGAACATGAATAAGACATTTTTCTAATGTTTTCCATGGTTTTTATTCACACTCCAGCCTACAGGGGTCAAAAGGTTCGGAAGAGGGTGGCTGATGAAAAAAGCAAAGCAAAGTTTGAGGCCTTCATCACCCAGTTTCAAGCTGGTAAGAACATGGAAATCAGTTATCCACCACAGTCTAGGGTTTATTATATTACAATGGTTTCCCTTTTTATCTTCTTCAGTTTGCAGGGGCTATCTTGCAAAAAAGAAATACAAGGCGTTGGTCGATGAGAAGAACAAAGCTGCAACCAAGATTCAGGCCCGCTACAGAGGGCACAAGGAAAGGAAAAGCTTCAAAAGAAAACAGTATGAGAGACAGGAAATTCACACAATATAGCGCTGACAACAAAAATGGTTTGTTTTTTGACAAAGATGTGCCAAATTTTGTTTGCAGGGAAGCCAAAGAGAAAGAGAAGGAAGAGAAAGCCCTTAAAGAAAAAGAGGAAGAGACTACTGAACCAGATAAGATTACCAATGAAGAAAATGCCCCTGCTCCTGACAACGAAGCCAAGAACGATGAAGAGGAAACTAAGGCGGCTGTGGTTCTCCAGAGCAACTACAGGGGCTTTAAAGAGAGAAAAAAGTTTAAGGAGAGGAAAAAGACGATGGCTGGGGCTGAATTAGAGCTACCACCAAATGCAGTACAAGAGGGTGGGCAAGAGCCTACAGGCAGCAAGGTGGAGGAAGGAGAACAAACAGCTGATAAACAAGAGGAGAATGAGGAAGATGAAGAAAGCACTTATGAAGCAGAGGAGAATGATGACAGTGATCACACACAGGTGCCAGAAGATGATGAACATACAGAAGTGACAGATGAAGCAGTGATTGAGGACGCACCTGCTGCAGATGCTGGAAAAGAAGGGCAGGAGGCAAACAAGAAGGAGGAGATTGGACAAGAAAAGGCTGCGGGTGAAGAGGTTGTCAAAGTTGAAGAAGAAACCAAGGCTGCCACTGTTCTCCAGAGTAATTTCAGAGGTCACAAAGAGAGGAAGAGGTTGCAGGAAGAAGGCAAGATCCCAGCTAAGAAACAGAAAGCCAAAACTGGTGAAGAAGAAGTGCCCACAGTGAGCAGCCCTACAGCTGCAGAGGAAATCACAGAAAAAGACGAATCAACGGAAGCTGAAGATGTAGCAGGTGTTTCTTCAGTTGATATCCAGTTAGAAGACCAAGATGAGACCAAAGCAGCTGTGGTGCTTCAGAGCAACTTCCGCGGCCACAAGGAGCGCAAACGACTCGAGGAGGAAGGAAAGATCCCTAAGAAGAGGAAGAAGGAAAAGGAAGTAACACCAGAACCTCCAATAGAAGAAGAGCAGGTAATGCAGACAGAAGAATCAGTGCCAGAATCCCAGTCGGGGCCTTCTGCAGAGAACCCGGAGGGACTGGATGAGGAAAAAGCTGCTACTGTCCTCCAGAGTAATTTCCGAGGCCATCGGGACCGAAAGAAACTGAAAGCAGAGAGAGAAACGCAGCAGAAAACAAAAGAAGAAGTTGCCAATGATGCAGAAGAGGAAACTAAAGAAGAGGCAGGGGAGGAGGTTGTGGATGTTACTGACGTGGTGATAGAGCGCAAAGAGGAGACAGATGCTGAAAAAGAGAGACTGGAGGAAGAGCAGGCTGCAGTGAAGATCCAGAGTAACTTCAGAGGGTACAAGGACAGGAAGAACCTGAAAGCCAACAAGCAAACAGCGCAGTCAGAAGCTGCGCAACTAGAGAGCTTCTCGAAAGAGGTAATATCAATAAACACATTTTATCACCTCTCCAACTCGCCCTTCTTGCCACTCATATATTGTTTATTGTCAAATCTCTTCAACAGATCAAAAAGACTTCTCAGGATTTTCTGGCCCTGCAGCATAAGTTAAATGAGATCATCCAGGCCCATCAATCAAACCCAGAGAAAAATGGCATGTTTGTGAGAGGAAAAGCAATCAATGGCATTGCTCCCCCGAATCAGCAATCAAGTAAGACAATTGAGATTGGCTCAGTGGAAAAGAGAATTATAAAGGAATTATAAAGCAATAAATATAATGCATAATGTTTGGCACGTATTGACCCGGGGTTAATGTGCTTCTTTTGGTTCTGTTTTTGAAGTCTCAAACCATAAGATAGTTAAGAAAGACAGGCGAGGAAATGTATCTTTTCTATTGGTATATTCATCTTTCATCGTCTTTTTTTGTCTTTTACTGAGGTGGAGTTCACATTCACCCATATAAGAGTGAAACTGTGCTTTCTTGCCACACAAAGATTATGTTTAGTTAAGTATTTGTTATTAAACTCTTCATGTTTTCTTTCATGTAAGAAAGGACAGATTTGTATTACCGTCGTCTCACAGGTGAAGACGATTGTTATCGACGCTGTTCTCTTTTCTCTCTCGTGAGGCTCGATTAGATCAGGAAACCTGGGAAAAGTCAAGTGCCAAAATAGGAAGCGCTTCTCTACCCAATGTGTCATCAAAAATAAAATTTGATTTGCACAGGTGATAGGGGTAATTGCTTTGAGGTGGCGAGCGAGGGGGAGACAGCAAAATTAAAGTTCCCCATCTTTGCAAAACGAAGCTTGCAGCTAAAATCTCACCATCATCGTGGGTTCAGATGTCGTGAGAAAATAATGTAATAATTATGTAATAATAATATTAATAATCTACTTTCCTTGGCTGGCATTGTGGGTATTTTGCCATTAATTTTATCGTTGTGGATTTTTGATCGTCTTTGTTTTTTAAGTCTTTTAAAAAGGTACATGTACTGAAATCATATCTGTCTGATTCTTATTAGATTTTGGATGATTTATAATAAAAACTCATATAAGAAGTTCAGTTGGTCTTGCTACATGCCCACAGTATGTAACTTCAACTTCATGTGACAGACTTGATTTTTTTAAAGTAACCACAGTCTTTCCCTAACCTTAACCAACTACGACTCATAATTGTTGTTTAACATTGGACTCACAGTGGCAATTGCGATAAACGATAAATTCAATGTCATTCAATTTCCCATTATTCCCAAGTCAGTAGCTTTAAAGACATCATCATCATTTTGTACCATTAGCCACCATAAGCTCCCGGTCATACCAGACCAAATAAGGTTGCAACAGCGAAAGTGTGTTGAAGTTAGCAAAGCATTTTATGGCTTAAATTAAACTTCTCATATGTAGATGAAGATTTCATTTATTTTTTCAAATGTTACATACTCTCACTTTAACATAGTGTTTTAGTTTCCAAACCATAATCATACCTCAATCTATAGTTTTTGTCTAAAGCATGATTTTTAAGTTAAAAACTCAATATGCACTTGTAGATGTACATCTGCTTCAATCTGATTTTATTTTGATGACAAATATACGGTTCAGTTAAGAGTGATTCTTAACAAACATTACACACGCATTACTCCACAGAGAGTTTCTAGTAGAGCAGAGTGTTCCTTTAATCTGGGCATGTTTGCCCTTTACAGGCTTTTCTTTAGCACAGCAGATTGCCTGAGGTAAAACAGAATGAATTATCTGTGTTATTTCCAAAGGCTACTGCAACTCTCTACGAAATTATGCTTCTCAGCCCCATTTCTCCATCAACAGTCCTAAGCTGTCCGCATACATTTCTTTAACATAATAAACTTGATCAGAATCATTTGTGACACACACAATGAAAGCAGAGGAATGCCAGTCAAATTGTTCTTCATGGGAAAGGTCATCAAATGTTAATCACGTTTTGTGAGCAAGCGTTTCCAACAATTATGGCAGGAATTAATAAGAGGGGGTGTGAAATTGGCTTTACTCGTTTGTGCAATACAGAATGACCTTTAGATGAAGTTGTTCAATAATATTACAAACTTTCACCTACTTTACCTTAAAGCTGCTGCACATGATGGATTGTTTCTTGCTGTGTCTTTTCCCCTTGCATGAACAGTGATTAATAATCAGCAGCAAGCAAAGGTCATTGTAATATGTTATAATTGTAATATCACATGCCCAAAGAGGAATATTGTAACAGTACATCAGTCCCAAACAAATATGATACATTGCAACACATCCTCTACATTATTGAGGATGTTGTGCATGAAAAGCTGCCCAGCTGGTTAGAAACCCACCTCTCTCTTTAAGTTCAATACAGTGCGGGGAATCGAACATGGATCGTCACAAAGTTATAGGTCACTTTGTTGGTGTCAAAGGTTATTTCACATAATCTCTGTTGGAAAATTCACACTGACCAAAGGCCTTAGGGTTAAACTTCAGTATGTATGGAGGGCAGTTCAATAAGCATTAAGTCAAAGTCATAAGTCAAAGGTCAGCATGGTGGCAGATCACAGTCAACAGTCCTGTATCCAACCAACCATGTATGTAATGATCCCACCGGCTCTCGAGCTATTTGAAAGTGTTTTGCTCACTTTTGCCAAACCTCCTTCAAATCCCATCACAGTGAAAAAAAAAAGAAAAACACAAGATCACTTCAGATCATGCTATAAAGGTCACAGGTTGAAAGTTGGACTGGCTAGTAAGTATAAGAAAGTAATAGGGTTAATTTTAATCCTCCAGTTCTTCTAGCAAAAACAAAATCTAAAGTAAATCTAAAAAACTATAATATAAAATCCCTGGTTATGTTGTTTTTTTTGTTAGGCACAAACACGCGTTAACATTAATCTCAGCGTACCAGAAGGCAATGCAGATGCATCTAAACTCTCAGTATAGATATCCAAAAAACCAACACAGCTACATTTTTACACCTCTTAAAAGATGTTGAAAGTCCTTTTTGTGAAAGTGTGAAATTAGAAAATGCCAGTTGAGGGTGTATGGGTACACCAAATAAGTAAATAACAACACTATTTAAAAAGAATTAAAATGATATGTAAAGGTTTATTTAAGGTCAGTGCCCAGTCCTGTACACACTTCTAACAGGCAGAAATAGCACATCACTACCCCGGTGTCTTTTATCTCTGAACAAATAGACGAGTTTTAACCGTCTTTGTTACTTTCCAGCTGACAAGAGATTGTCGAGGACCCCCCGCAGAACCCAGCAGCCAAAGACCCTTAACACACCAGAGGACTCCACCTATTACAACTTGATTCATGTGAGTCATAAAAAGAGATGGAGAACGATTTCAGATATTTACTACAACAAAGCTTTGCTGTCTGCTTCCATGTGACGCTGTAACTACTTCCCCAGCTATTGGCTTTCACAATGAACTATTGATTGGCAATTTTTCTTCCTGTAGTACATATGTTCCCAAGGCAAGAAATATCAGCCTATTACAAAGCTGTCTGGAAAAGTTTCTTTAGTACATTTGACAAATAACATTGTCTTGAGCAATGTGTTTCATGTTCTTTAAGCAGTTCCTTTTTATTCATTGTTCTGCTTATGTAATTATTTGTAATGTTTCATAATTTCAGCGAACAATAGCTCAGCGCAGAGTAGCTCCTTTTGCAGCACTTAAGGTTTGTTTACAATGCTGTCAGTATTGTTTAGTTTACCTTTACTGTAGATACAGTAAAATGAATTTAATCAATAGTTTAATGAACTGCTAATGAAGACCTAACTTTTGATAAAGAGTAAGAAACTTTAGCAATAATTGTGCCAGTACTGTAGTACGCTACAAAAACATGATTGACTAAACGATAGCTTGATTACTCCCTTACAAATCTGATCACATGTATTGGAGCAAAAGTCACTAAAAAAGTTAATGACATTTAATATTTTAGAAATGCTTCTATTGCTCTATCTTTCAAAAATATCTAAAACAGTGGTTCCCAACATGGGGTCACATTTATTGGGGCTGTGAACCAACTTAAATGGTCAACTATTAACATGAACTAGTTCATTTTAATCTGTGTGAAGTAGAATTTGAGCTAGCACTTGTGAAGCGTGAACTTGCACAACACTGCTGATACTATCACCCTTATTGGAGTGCTACAGGAAAAGTCAGGGGATCACCAAAGTCACAATGATTCATCCTCTGGGTACCAAGAATATCTGAGCTATAATAGTTGTTGAGATATTTCCGTCTGGACCAAAGCAGTACACTGACAGACCGACATTTCCATTCATAGCTTGGCTAAAATGGTCACAACTTGTAAACAGATGCAACCTATAATGGACCAAATAGCCGTTTTGCTTCGTATTGAGGGGTTACAAACCAAAAGGTTAGGAACCACTGTTCTAAAACCACTTTCTTTTGCTTTACCTGAACACAGAGATTAGCAGTGTTTGACTGACATGTAGTAATCTGTCCTTCCCCTTGTCTCTCCACTCAGAGGTCTGTCCAGGATGATAAACGCAAGCCCAGGAAAGAGGAGTAAGTGGCCAGTTCTTATTTCAACCTCATTTTAACAACCTATCACTACTGTTTTAAGAGGCTGGCCTGCTGCCTGCCTGCTTGGCACGCAGGGTCCAGAGTAATGACTGTAGCCCGGCACCAACATAAGGACAGTGTCTGGGTCCAAACTTAACGATCTGCAGCATCGCACCCATCCTCAGTGAAATTAATTAGCCTCATCTTTCACCATGGTTCTCAGTGAAATGTAATGTTAGGTATCACAAATATTTGGGATGGTGGTATGCAAGATGTTTAATTTACCTGCAGATCAAATCTTAGAAGAAAAAAGCAGGAAGAAAGTGTGTGTGGATGTGTGTACTCATGCATATGTATGTGCTGTAGAGGCCACAAGGTGAGCGTACCGCCCAGAGTGAGGGGGTGAAGATAGACCGATAGGGCTGGCTGAACAAGTAAGGGCCAGGGTACTTTATCACAGCAGTCTGAAGTGGCACACACACACACACCTTGTTGTACACACACACGGTGCAACACAGCGCTAAACATCAAGGGTAATAATTTGTTAGCAGATAAATAAAGCCAGCGATGGACAGGAGCAGTTTACATGCATCATTAAGGATGAGAAGGTCAGCAGGAAAGATAGCATCTCAGGCCAAAGCTGACAGCAGAGGAGGATGGGAGATGGGAGAGCGTGGGTGGTAAGAGGAGAGGAAACTGAAGAGTAGACAGAGGTGATGATAGTAAATGGGAGTAAAGACATACAAAAGGAGAAAAAGGGAGGCAGAGATAATCAGAAACAGTGATAGTGAACTACAAATATCTTTATTTTATTGCCAATATCAAAGCAATGATCTATTACGTGTCTATTTGGTACCCTCTACCATAACAGTGATTCAACTCATTGCCAGCTCATAACATCTTTCGTATTTGCCTTTTTTAAAGACTTGATGTCGATGCCATTCCTGTGGACAATTCCTGCGTACCAGGGAAAGCAATGTCTTATGTTTCTGATAGCAGCCACAATATTTTATAAATAATAATAAACAGGAAAAACAAGGTAGTTAGCATGAGCAGTGAACCAGGGAGGAACCAGCCCCATAACCAGTCCTGGTTCAAATACCAGGGCCAAACTGGTCCCCTGGTGGCTGAATAAGGCCTAAGCAGAGAAAAAGGATACAAAACTAAAGCTCAAATTTCATCAACTGAAATTCATAAATATGAGTCTATAGCTATGCTTCTGTGAGGTTGAGTATGGCTTTGAGCTAAATGCTTATGTCGTAATGGCAATCCTAAAGTTTAAAGGTTTGTTTACCATGTTCACTGTCTTAGTTTAGCATAAACCAAAATATTGGAGAAATACACATTTTGACACCAGCGGAAACATTACTGTTAAAATGTATTACCAGACTTATTAAAGTTCATCCAGGTGGTGAACATGAATATTTGAACCAGATTCAGTCCAGACAATAGTTGAGATATTTCCAGAAAGAAAACTCAGATTTCAACCTCATGGTAGCACTAGAGGAAAAGCAAGGGGGTCACTAAAGTCATTTGGATAATGATACACCAAAAGATATTTTAGAGAAGACCTGACCTTTAAAGTCTCTGAAAAGGGGAAAGGTTTAACCAGAAACATTTCAAACACTTTATCTAGTGTACCACAGCATGGGTTATTATTGTCAGAAACCTGAACTGTAACTATAAAATGATCAACTTTAGCCACTTTAGCCTACAAGCTGTACTTAACTTCAATATTACTGGGTAAAGTATTTCCCGTACTGGTCCAGATCTGTGTTTAAAAACTGAAAAAAAGTGCTCAATGTCATCAAGGTTTTCCTCTTATACCACTATTTATCACATAATTCAGCCAGTGGCCCAGAGAAGAGGGAGATATTGTAATTACAATCAAGGGGACATTTTCATTTCAGCCTCAGAACAGCACATTGATCATGATTCATCAGTGGGATGATTGCGTGTCTGTGGTTATAAGGTCAGGTCGGGCCTCAAACTCATCACATTGTTAGATCATCAGTATTTATTGGGCAATGTTGACACCTTCTAATGTTGCAGCACTGTAGTCATGAAGACACTGATTTCCAATATCAGTCGTTACCATATGTTAATAATGTGTCAGACGCATTGATCTCCACATGGACATTCTCTTTTTTTCCTCCCGGCTTCTGTTCATATGTCAGATTGTAGGTTTGTGGGCCAGTTAACTGTCAGGCAAAAGACGTATCTCAATCTAAAGTCCTACAAGGACATTAACATGAAAACAAAACACATAATTACTACCATAATATGCTTTTAAAGAAGTTAAATCAGCTGTAGTAAGAAGACCACAACCACTTTTCATTTAAAATTATTTCCTTTCTACTTCAAAGGGAGGCAGCTCACATGTGGGAGGAAACACAGAAAACTGTAAAAACAGGAAGACTCAACCTCAGGTTTCTGAGTATATAGACCCAGTTCAAGCCATATCTGTACAGGTTTTAATTAAAGAAAAATATTTGTTCAGATGGAGCGTTCAAAGGAGAACTAAAACCACCAATTCACTGTAACAGATGAATGAACAAACAGGCTTTATATAGACCACGCCTACTGAGGCAAACAACTGCAATCAAGGCAATAGATCACAGGTGTGTCCTCTCTTAAAGAGAAGTTAGACATTCAAATATCATGAATAAAAACATAACATATAAATTATAGACTTAGAGTAGAATAAATACAATTTGCATTTGAGTATTTCTTCAAAGTTAGTATACAAAAAACAATAAAATGTTTTTCATTTAGAACAGGAAATCTTGAAGGCTGTACAAATACAAATACGAATATGAAAACTGAATTGTCCATGTGGAAATTTGTCTCCAGTTTCACCATAAGAAGTGTCACAAAAGTACATTAAGTTCATAAAAGTACAACTCACAAAACATAAAAACATTAACAAAAGTAAAAAGGACATCTGATACACACTGCTGTGTTTATTAAAAATGCTTTGTGTCAATATATTGAGATTTTTTATGTCCAGTTTAGTCTCAATGGGAGAAAACACACCTGTGATTTATGAAATCTTGATTGCAGTCATTTACCTGTAGGAGAAAGAGTCTGAAAGCCTCGACGTTTATTGCTCGGTAGGATCGTGACAAAGGCTGAAATGCATTGGTGGTTTACAATCACTTCTTATCACATGCAACATATAGCACTGTGTTAACAATATGTAACTGAGGACATTAATAAAGGGAACTCAATCAAACAAAACTACATATTTCAGAAGAGACCTGGCACCAGATGTCTTTCGTTATTATGACCACTATAAGTTTAGACTGTCCAAAAATAGCAAGTACTGAATGTCCAGTTGACACCAAGTCTGTCCTCCTAACGTCCATCTACCCCTTCTGTTCGTGCTCCAGTCCAGGAAAGCTGCTGGATGTGGATGACCAGTACTACCGGGAACTACCCACCAGCAGGTCTGAACCATGCATCTCCACAGAGGACACTTCCCTCAGTGACATCCCTGAGATGAGCCAGCCTGCAGAGCTGAGACCAGACGCTGCCAGCAGACCGACCAGAGAGCGGGCCATCACTGACCCAGAGCCTCCCAAACCTGCCAGTGACAACAGGTATTTCCATGTCCTTTATGTCCTTTTATGCTGAGACACTGTAAGTCCCATTATCATATTTTTTTTATTTTAATTAGTGACGGTAAAGTATCTCAACTCAAAGGTGATCTCACTAGCTTTTTGGGACCAACCTCATCTCATGATTTTCAAAAGCGACTGGAACTGGCTCAGGTGACCCAGATTCAGGTTGTAAATTCCCTCCTTGATCTTCCTCCAGCTGTCATCTGTCTAGAAGTCTTTGTACACTGAGGCAATGAACTTGCAAGAAAACAATGCAGCTGATTCACAAAGTACAGTAAAAGTTATGCTGTAAAATGAAATTGTTTTGTTCACTAAACTGATTAAAAAGGCTGCACTCGTTTTAAACAACATTTAAACATTTTAATTTGAATGCGTTTAGATGGTAGCATAAACTGAGATATGCCCATAATAATCGAATTAACATTGCAGAAAATTAGCTTTGACAAATATTTATTAAGAGAGGATGTATCCTTCAAACAGTTGCAGAGCAAGTTTTATCTGCTTGTGCCTGTTATTATATGTAAGAACGGCAATTGTGAGTACTTCCAAAAAGTGTCACACCTGCATGCTGTATTCCAGCTGGTCAAAAGACAGATGTTGAAAAAAATCCACATACAAATTTAATCTGTTTTCCAGTCCTGCCTGGCCATCAGACAGCCCGCGTTCATGCTAAATGATCGCTGAGGATAATAAACAATATGAAATCTTTCCTCTCAACATGACTCATTTCATCCCCTTTCTCACTCTTGTTCCATTTCTCTAACTTTGTGTTGAATTTGTTCTCTCCCTGTGTCGTGCTGACAGACGCTCTGTTCCCAGAATGCCCTCCACGGAGAGCCATACTGACGACAATCCGTACGACTTCCGACATCTACTGAGGAAGACCTCCCAGAGACGGAAGCTCATCAAACAGTACTGAACACAGGATTCAACTCTTTAGCCATTTGACATGCTGCAATCTGTTAGCATGTATCATGATCTATGATATATGAGTATTTGATTCATCACAGCTTAATCAAAAACCTTAAAACTGTTTATGGAAATGAAATCACTGACTGCAAGGAAATGTAAATAATGCTTCACGCTTAAAACTTGCTGTAAATGAAGGTTTTATTTATGTGATTTGTAAACTAGACATTGCTACTTTTGCTCATTTTCCTGTATTTTCAGTTTACTTTCAATGCTGTTTGTTAAATGTTGTGCTTGAGGTTGTCAATATCCATTTAAACATCTGATGGAATTGTGTAAAATATCTATAGCTCATGTAAATAAATAAAGAAAGCCATGCTCTTACACTTGAATACTTTGCTTTTCCATCCATTTTGAAGGACTTATCTTTGGAAAATCAGCTTCAGTGTTGTCATGATGTAAGAAATGTACATTGTCTTCTCTGCTTTGTTCATTTAAACATAAAATATATCAAATTCATCCTTGTGATGTTTCATTTCAAATGAACAACTTAATGCTGTGAAAAAGGTTCAAGATAAGCAGAAGCAGCTGTATCATGTTGCTATCAAACCAGCTCCTGTAAATTCCTATTCATGCAGTCTTCTTTTCCATACTTGCTTTAGCATATCTTTGAGATTCAACCTCTGACCTTTATATGACATTTTAAAGGAGAAAAAACCCCACAGGGAGTGTAAGTGAATCCCCAACGACATGCTGACTGCACACACTGGCACTAAAAACCACATACAGACAACAACAAAAAAAAAACACAGACAAAATACAAGATAGCAAGGAAGAAACAACTGGGACATAAGCTGCCCAAAACCCTGCAGAGAATGAGCGGATACAGACAATGGTTGGATCTAATAGAGAGGAGGAACAGTATGTGTTTTTACAAATAAAAGAGCTATTATTTTAGAAAAATACTGAGGTTAAGTTTACAGAACTAAAGACTTACAAAAAATATTAATATTACAGTGAAAATCTAATACTAAAATAACAAAATAAATCCCTATAAGGCCTCAGTGGAGAACCACATACTTACTGTAACTCCACACACACATAGTACAGTTTTATCATGGCTTTGCCAAAAGGGTTCAATTTATTTTAATCTGTGTTATTTGGCATTAAATGGTTGTTGGCGATTGCATTCATAAATCATAACAGATGTGGCTATGCCCGCCGGCTCCGTTTGCTCTCATTCATGGATAAATGATAAGAAACCAGCGCAGGGCATGTGTGGATTGTAATATTGTAATTTGTAACGGGTAATGTGTGGAATTAGGCCATATACTATCAAAATGTCTGTTTTCCTAACATTATTATTATCATTATTATTATTTTACCTTATCCAGAATCGACAAACCAGTGTCCATCTGGATTTATAATTTGAGAGTTTAATCTTATTTTAAGGTGACAAAACACTGGATACCAAGAAAGTCCTGGATAATCATGATATTTATAGGGGGGGGACGCAAATGCGCAGTGGTGCAACAAAAAAAGGAGCTGTGGGAAACAAGTAACAAAGAAGTAACGAGTAGCCTAATAAATACTTTGGAGTAACGAGCCCCCGACACTGAGAGGAGAGAGGAGGGACCCGTGCGCACTCGCCTCCCCGCTGTTTCCTCCACCGGAGGCGGGCAATTAGAGCCGCCGGTCTCCAAGAAATAGATCCGCAATTGGTGGGCAGATGAATTAGTTGGCATTCACTCATTCAGTCTGTAAGGAGGGTGAGTTCGGCACGCAGGGGACCAAGTGTTGGGGATGTATGGAGTCACGACGCACGACGCAACGCAGTTCGTCATGACTTGAAGTGAATCACGATGGGATTTCTGTAGTGACGTGAAATTTAGGTTAGATGCAATTAGACATGGCTTCTGTGCTGCTTATGTACCAGCAGCTGTGCCATATAGCCGCTTACTGAAAGCACCTTTTTCACCATTTTTTCTTTATTTTTCTTTGCAAATTTCCATCCAAAGCAAGACTGCACCTGAACTTCCTCTTGCACTATATTTCCCCCAGTGAAGTGAGAAGCGTCGCTCTGTGTGTGTGTGTGTGTGTGTGTGTGTGTGTGTGTGTGTGTGTGTGTGTGTGTGTGTGGAAGCGCTGGCAGAGTGCGCCGGTGAAGTCAGTGAAGTGTTTGCGGATTTCTGTGGGAAGACGCTGCTTTTCGTGCACCTGTGGACGCCTGCAGAGACGTGGACGCCTTTTGTGTGCTTCTCCCACAAACGTTTTGATTTCTTTAGGGGGCTTTTTCTGCAGCATAACGCGTCTGTCGGATGCACGGCTGGATTTTGAGCAGTCGGAGAGCTCTGGTCAGCTTCAGCACCACATCAGCTTTGAACAGCTCCGGGTCGTCGCGTGTGGATGGGCTCTGTCGGTCTCCGTGTCTCCTGCAGCTCCTAACTACCGGCAACAATGGCATCACACGGTTTCTGGTCTCTTGGCGGAGATAATGCGGGGGCCAGTACCGGGAGTCAGAGCCCCAGTACGCGTGAGTGGCTTTTTGTCTTCAAAAAACCACCTCTGATGGACCGGGCGCAGCACTAATTCCAGTGCATTGTCTCAAAGCCAGTGCGCTGCAGTTGGCGTTACAGCCGCCGAGTGCCTACCAAACAGGCCTGCTGTATTTATATTCGACACATCTGCTTTTTACACCTTGTCTTTTTCTGTCTTGTTTCACCCCGCAGGGTGCAGGAATTTGGTCTAAAGGCTTGTTTTGCTTGCTACAACTTGCATGGCGCTCCTTGTGTTTCGGCTGCGATCTTAAAGTTGGACTCTGAACCTGAAGCCTGTTCATCCCTCATTTGATTTATCCCTTCTCTCTTCCAGCCAGGGCTTGGTGCCAAGCGGCGGCCCAGAAATTTTCCGGAGGAATTGGATCGAAATTATGTGGTATGTTGGTTCACAGCGGAGGGAGAGTGTGTATGTGTGTGTGTGTGTGTGTGTGTGTGTGTGTGTGTGTGTGGGGCCGGTGGGGGTGAGGGGCGAGGCGCTGGGGTGGGTGGGTGTTGGTGGGGGAGACGCTATTTAGGCGACGTGCCTCCTTATTTCTATCATTATATTTACGGCCTTGTCGACAGAGTAATAAAAATACCTCACTGCTGTTTTGTGGTGTCCAAAGCGCTGCTCAATGTCGGGGAAGTGGAGAAACCCGCCGATCCGGCCACCAAGCAGCCGCCACAGACAGAAGCTGCAGGCACCTGCGGCTGCAACAAATCCTGCAACTGCACCAAAGCTGCTGTGGGCTTCTCCGACCTCTATTCAACAGGTACAAAAAAGCATTGCTGTAAACCTGGACCTCTAACACTGGCGGACTCCTGGTCTGTCTAACTGAGTCTAAACTTGGCCTTGCCTCGTGGTTGTGGTGATTTATTCAGTGTAAACATGGCATAAATAAGCTATTTTTAATAGTAAGTGTAGGCATTCTTTTTCAAATAAAAGAGCTGTTTTAATTTATTGCATTTGACATTTTACGCATCCACTTTTTGTTAATAATCTTCATTAAAATGTCATTTTTATTGATTTTCCAAGATGTGATCCGCTTTATTCAATAAAATACATAACATGAAAAATGAAACAAATGGCAGAAGATGCGCCTCTTTGGGTGAAATAAATCATCTTCTGTATTTATACATCTACATTTAATATCTGCAATATTCAGAGAGGTGTGTTGCAGTGGTAGACTATTTGTGGAGAGGTCACCTTCAGCAGAATCTGAAGGTTTGAGGCGTTGAACGTCGCAGAAATTTAAAACTTCCTTCCATTTTTAGACCTGTAAAAATATTAAAAATCTGCCTTTTTTTTATTTGTGGGCCTTAAGGATAATTTCACACCAAAACGCTCCCATTTTAATGGCCTACACATATGCATCTTAATGTTCCAAGATACACGTTTTTTTCCGATCCTCTCCACAGATCCATCTTTTAAAGTCCCAGACATATAAATCACAAAATGTCTCCCCCCCTTTTTATTCATTTCTTATTTACAGACCTGTTACCTGCCATGGACGGTGACACCAAAACAATGACCTTCCTGCAGGAAGTTGTGGATATTTTAATGGCCTACATCGTGGAGTCTTTCGACCGGGAAACGAAAGTTATTGATTTTCATTATCCAAACGAGCTGCTCCAGATGAACAACTGGGAGCTGCAGGACGAGCCGGCCACTCTGGATGATATCTTGATCAGCTGTCGCGCTACCCTCAAATACGCCATCAAAACCGGTAGGCCCGGATCTCAGTGTTTGGATACCTGATCGATAAATAGCACTTCGGTTTTATAACTTTTTCCAAATATGCTTAAAACATTTCCAGTTTTAGCATGTTAGGAAATATTCACCACCTTTTTTTTAAATTACGTGTAGGCCTGAATTCTGGCCTGATTTGTGTTAAAAATGTCGAAATCACAATATATATTTAATATCTTACTGGAATGGACAGATAAATATGAAAACATGTGCAGGGAAAATAACTATAGCAGAGCCAGTGCAAGTTCTAATTTATCCTATAACACAGAAAATCCTAAAATACGTGACAGAAGATAGAATCTACTAGAAACCACTTATTCTTATTCTTATTATGATAATACAAAAGTCAGCACAAGTTAAATAAAATATTTTAGGTGAATACTATCTCTTGAGGATTATCCTACAAAAAATGAGACTGAAGAGAGAATAAACAGGGTGGGATAAAAGGAAAATAATAAATAAATTAATGATGTTTATTAAAAAACATCAACCTGGAAGTTGTCCTCCTTTTCCTCCTCCTGTCCACCAGACCGATAAATGCAGTGACGCAGTAAATCTGGCTCACCAAGTGGGAGATAATAGGCTAATAACCAGGATTCATAGGCCAAGTCCATTATTCTCTCCTGACTGACACATGTAGGAGACAATTTCCACAAAAAAAACAAAAACAGATATATTTTTTATAGCTTCTTTGTTAACACTTTACTTTAACCCCCTATTCTGTATTTATAAACTGTTTCTAAACAGGAATACATGGTTTATAACACACTATAATGTTGTTGTAAGCAGATGTAAGGATTTTTTTTTACATATCTTTTTATGTACAATATTTGTTAACAATTATAACTCAACCTATAAAGACATATTTTATATTATTAATTATATTATTTTATATTATTATTATTGTTTAATTATCTGTCTATACACCACCATCCAGTAGCTGCTGACAAATGCATTAACAAACATTTATCTGCTTCAAACTACATTATAGTGTGATGTAAACAGTTTATGTGTTTACAGTAAATGTTTATATGCTTCTTATAAATGCTAAATTATGGGGTTAGTAAAGTGTTGCATTGCATGTTTATAATATGAAAGACTTTTGCACGACCTTTTTAAAGTCACATTATCTCTTGTTTTTGTTTTTACTTATTTCCAAAGCTGCCCTGTGTATGATGTTGCCTGTATTATAAAACAAAGGTGCAAAAACTGAATTTTGGAGTGTTTATACC